TACAGCACCACGATGTGTCTATTGTCAAAGCAGCCAGAGGAGCAAGAAGCAGGACCTTATATCTCGCTCTACACCCAAAGCGGTAAAAGAGAACATGAAGAATGTTCGGGAAGGGGTAGTAGCATAAGACATTTTTATGTTAAATAACTGATTGTGTCATGATTATTTTTAATTAGGCCAATGGCACGCTTTTGCAGTGATGTGAGCCACTTTATAACAGAACTGGAACTGCTATCCCATTTTGTAGAGAGGGCTTTTCAACCCAGTTTAGTCATGGGCCAAAATGTTGGAAATGGGGCTCGTCAAGGGCCAGAGGGCCGATCCATACCATAGAAAGTTCTTTAATACAGTACAATTGGCAATGATCCGCTGGCCACTTGCTAGGTCTTTGCGGGCAAGATGTTGACTGTGGGCCGCCAGTTGAATAGCAATAGCCTTTATATGTCTGGATGTGAGAAGTGTAGAAAATCTTTCTAGTGTTTTCATCAAGAAAGTTTTTAATTTTTGCAAGGTGGTATAATTTTTTTTAAAAATTATTTAGCTGTTTGTTTCACAAGTGCTTGTAAATGAGAGCTGAAAGTTAGATTGGCATCAATGACCAACCCTGGTGCTTTGTGCTCAGTTACACATTCTACTCGAGTCTTCCCAATGTAGAGTTTAAGCGCCCTCTGTGAATTTAAACTGTATAGTTTTTGTGTAGTCATTATTAACATAGATTTTGTTTTAATAATGTTTATTTGCATACCATTTCCACAGCTTCATTTGACTACATTATTTAATTCTTGTTGCAGTGATGACTCTAGTACATTACAAGTTTCAGCATTTGTATAGATGGTACAGATGTCTGTGTATAAATCACAGGACGATGACATAGGGAAAGATCATTTATGTAAATATCGAATAAGAGAGGGCCAAGAATCGAGCCCTGGGTTACCCAAGTATTCGAATAAAGGCAAGTGAGCAAGATGCAGACAGTGATACAAGTGAAAGGATAACACTGGGATGGAAGAAAGCAGTCTGAGAGGGTGTGTTACTAGAGTGAGACGGAAAGTACTGCAGAGCCTTTGCAGCTGACCTTAGTTGTGGAGATGGTATGTCACTGATAAGATTGATGATGCTGATGACTGATAAGGCTGAGGATGATCACCAATAAGGCTGATGATGAATGAGACTGATGACTGATATGGCCTATAACTGTCATAAGGGTAATGACTGATAAGATCGATGACTGATGAGGCTGGCAACAAACCTACAACTACTCCCAGTGACAGTTCGATAGATCCTTAATCTCAACAATACACTGATTAATATGCACGCAATATATATATATATATATATATATATATATATATATATATATATATATATATATATATTTGTTCTGCTCTTCTGATCTTGGAGTTATGTGTGTTTGAACTATTTCTTCCTCCCCCCCCCCCCCCCTTTTTACAAGCTGCTATCTGCATGAAGGTCTATCCTGAGATCACAAAATATTCAATTATGTACGGCAAGGCGGGTAAGCTTAAGTTACAGTAGAGGACAAATCTCGGTTACCCCGTTCATTCAATTTCAAAGAAAGTTACAATTAGTCAGTGAATTAGATCATCTGTAACCGTAACGGTTCACACCACCAGCCTGCCGTAACAACCTGCAGTCCTGTGTGTGCAGGTAAGAAATGTCAGAGATCAGGTATCATATCCTGAACCGTTTGCGTAAAATTAAAAAAGTGACAGTAAAATGTAACTTTAAAAAAACTATGATGACTGTATTTAAAATGTAATAAACAAACTATGAAAATGATAATATTAATAGGCCACATAAAATCCTAAGACCACATTTAAATTTTTTTTAAAAAGTCATAAACGATAATAATATTATAATAATTAATATGATTACAAATCAAATACTATCAAACTGATCACAAATATACCATTCATAGGCCCCACATTTATCTGAACAATCATTATCAACAAAACACAAGATAATCATGCAGTGGTGTCGTAGAAACAGTTTAATCCAGGAAGACAAACCTACTGTCTACACGGCGACAGATGCAACCAGTGATAGTCACGTCCCACGGAGTAGAGCTCAGCAGGCAGACGGTAGACTTGTCGCGTTTCGTTATCTCTCCACGGACGTTTCAGTTTTTTACTTCATTCAGTGGGTATGAAAACGTTAACGGGAATTCGAACTGAAATACACCAAATCTAGACAGATTGAAGATGTTAGGTTTAGACCATATCTAGAAATATACGAGTGTTGGGCTGGGGTCGGCGGGGATGTCGGATTATAACTTGCTTACATTCTCTGGCGAAGATGGGATAGTGGTGTAAAAGTAAATGACAGGAGACACACAAAGTAGGTTAAACTGTAAAGTAAATAATATTGGTACACACACAAGATCCCAGCTTTCAACTATTGAAAAAAAAAATCGTGACGCCGCCCTTCAAGGACATTCATTATCGTACAAGCAATACATTACATGGTCTTTTACTTATTGTTGGCACCTCGTCTTTCCAGACGATGGATGGTTTAAAATATATTGTCACTGTACTTTGACAGGCGTGGGACAAATAGCTCACGGCGAAAACAAGTGTGACTAGCAAGACACAAACATGATAACTTATCGTTATCTTACCGGATAAGAACAGTCGTCCACAATTAGAGAATTGGAGTTTTCGATTTCAGGACTCTTGTTAATTATATGTGTTGATTATGTTTCTTCTCAAACACTTAGCTCTCATCCTTGCCTAACTTGCTACAATCATTGTTTCTACAGCCTCCTTCTCTTCTGATTTACCCTTCCGTGCAACACGGTCCATCTTATTTCCCCCCATATATCTGCCTCAGTGACAATACCTGTAGTATCATCAGTCATGTCCCGCTTGCACACATCTTTATATTGTAGTAGAGGTTGGCCTTGACATCTTCTACCCATCTGTAATTTGCCATAGAAGATGTCCTTAGAGACTCTACCATCCTCCAGGTATGGCCCAGCTACCCTGAACCTTGATAGACTGAGAAAACTTGCAATACCTGCTGTTTCAATACCTAAGTGTTTGCGATCTTATTTTGCCACTTAATGCCAAGTATTCTTCTTAGACATCGCATATGAAAGCTATATAGCAATTTTTATCTATTTCCGTCAGTGGTAAGTTGGCATTTACTGTTTTGTTTACTGGTTTGACAGAAATCAAAATGAGGATGGCCTATAGCAATGCACAGATTAAACAGCATTAAAATTGTATGGTTAAGCACCAGCAAGGAAATCAAAATTAAACATTTGAGAGCATGCATCTCTCTTCTAGCAACATTTGTATGTGAGTCGTGGTCTATCTTCCAGTCTTTAAAAAGAAAACAGGGACTTTGAAGCTGCAATGCTATGATATATACTAGTTTTAAGACGGTCCCAGTTTGTTCCAATTTTTCACCTCTGGATTTTCCAAACTTATATTGTTCCATGCTTTCAGCTGTTAGCTTGTCACATGTATTTAGTATTTTTTACTTTACTGCTGACTTATATCTGGTAGCTTCAATGTCTATCTTGGATTCTCTTGTTGCTTTAAGATCCACATTTTTAATTCTTGTGTGCATTTTTGTAACCCCAGGGTTGTTACCCAAGCTACTGCCAGCACCTGGATAGGATCTGGAATTTGTAACACTGTTTTTAAATCTGTTTTTTTTTTTTTTTCATAATATAACCAGTTTGTTTTCTGCTTGTATCTCTGACTGCTTGTCCTTGTATACTGTTTCCCCTCATTGAATGTTGAAAGAATATGTTGCAAATAATGAGCTGCTTCTTCTCACAAAACTGTATTGGCCTATCTCCTCTGTCGAATCATCCTAATTTCTCTTTCTTATGTCCATTTCTTGTTTACTTTCAACCTAATTTATCCCAGCTTTTTCTTTAACTTCTTGTGTGCCATACTTATATTATTTTAACTCATTAAATAAGCCATTTACCATAGCTGCGGTGCACCCACAAATGCCTTTAGGAATATTACTTAGAGAGTACCCAGTCTCTTCCATTGTACTTATGATCAGCATCATCATTGAGCAGGACCTTTACAGAACGTTGCTCTCTTCATAGCACACCCGAGTCTCTTTCTCTAGCCAATTCTCCAGCCCTGTGTGCTGTCACTGCCAGTGCATCTTCAGTGTCTTTTACCCATCTTCGTGAAGGTCTCCCTCTGCCTCATCTTCTGGAGACTGCAGTCTTCATCATTGTTCACTCTAGACCAACATGACATTAAACATGGTTTCCCTCAGACAGTCAGAACTCCCTCTGTGGGTTCTGGGGCACCTTGTTGGGATGGGGGAGGGGGGGGGGGAAGGGGAATATACCTGCTGCCCCTTAACAAGCATGTTGTAAAAGACAACTAATTAGGGTTGTTTCCTTTGAAGTCAGACTGCATCAGCCCAAGGGGCAAGGAACCAAACATGTACATACAAGAAAAAAAAACGTGAGATCTGTAAGACGCATATGCACACAAAACTCAAGTTGTGGATCAAGAACTCCCTGTGTGGGTTCTGGGGCCCCATTGTGGGGAAAACAAGAATAGACCCACTGCCTACCCAAAAGCATGTCGTAAGAGTCGACTAAGTGGGAGCTTTCTTCAAAGTCGGAGTGCATCTGCCTGAGAGGCAAGGAACCAACAGTCTGCACACAAATGAGTTAGATCTGTCAAACAGATGCACATGCAACACTCAGGTTCTGAAACAGGACTGCTGTCTGGAAGTGGACGAACGACGAGAACTTTCCGCCGGAGTGTACAACCGGTGAACGCAAAGAAGAAGGATCAAGACTAAAGTCTACAACTGGGTGAACAACCTGGACTTTCCACCACAGTTTACAAAGCCATACTTAATTAATTAAAGACACCAAAATTGTTACTTTGTCCCACACAGACTTTCCAATAGTGTTGAAGTAACAATGCCTGAGATTGAAAGAGTCAACCATTAGATGAATCACCTGTGCTTTTTCCAACATCTCAGTCAACATGCAGAAACTGCTGCACAGGTGGAAGCAGTACAAATATAGATTTGTTCCATGGCTGATCCTAAATTTGAAAAACAGGTAGTTGTTTTGTCACCGCCATACGAGCTTGGATGTTGCTAATCTTAGATGTGTGTCCTGTACTTCTGCTTCTGTTGTGATAAATTCTTGTGTTCCGGCGAAAGAAAAAGAACTTTAGTGTTTCATTGTGCTCTTTCCCCGTGTGGGTTCCGGGGCCCCATTGTGGGGAAAACAAGAATAGACCCACTGCCTCCCCAAAAGCATGGCATAAGAGTCGACTAATTAGGAGCTTCCTTTGAAGTCAGAGTGCATCTGCCTGAGAGGCATGGAACCAACAGTCTGCATTCAAGTGAATCAGATCTGTAAAACTGATGCACACGCAACACTCAGGTTCTGGAGCAGGACTGCAGTCCAGAAGTGGACGAACAACCAGAACTTTCCGCCAGAGTGTACAGCTGGTGAACGCGAAGAAGAAGAAGAAAGAGATTGTGCTCTGATTACAGATATTTTATTGTTGGCATTTGACTGTGATAAAATCTCTCAGTCTATGAGTAAGTGGCTTTGATGAAAGATACGATGACAAAAAAAAAGTATGTGATTGTATTATGAGGAAAACAGTAATGATTTAATAACAATACCTGTTCAACCCATGTGAGTTATTTTTCTAACATATTTGTATATATATATATATTTTTTTTTTCAGTTTTGATATTTAAGCATGTCACATACTTTTGTTTATGTAATATTGCATAGATTATGTAATAATTGTAACAGACTATAAGAGTAAAGATTGTTCAATTTAATATGTATTGTTTATTATGAGGCAAGAAAATTTCCTATAACACATAACTGTGTGGTCTTCTTTTTTTTCTCCTCCTCCTCCTCCTTTGTCTTCTTTTTCTTCTTCGTCATCATCTTTTTTTTTTCTTCTTCATAGTGTTTACCAGCTGTACATTCCGACAAAAAGTGTTGGTTGTTCGCCCACTTCTGAACTTTGGTCTTGCTCTAGAACTTCAGTTTTGCATGTACATCTGTTTTTTGGATCTGGATTATTTGTGTGCAGACTGTTGGTTCCTTGCCTTTTAGGCTGATGCACTTTAACTTCAAAGGAAAAACAATAATAAGTGCCTTTTGTGACATGCTTGTGATTGGAGAGGGCAATGGGTCTATTCTTTACCCCCTCCCCCACTCCCAAATAGGGCCCCCAGAACCCACATGGGGATGTGTGGTCTTACGTGATTAAGTATGTGATGATGTTGTAGTAGAGAAACATCTCTTCTTAACCTATGAGTATATGATGGTGGTGTAGTAGAGAAACATCTCTTCTTAACCTATGAGTATGTGATGGTTTTGTAGGATAAATCCCTTGTTAACCTATGAGTATGTGATGGTTTTGTAGGATAAATCCCTTGTTAACCTATGAGTATGTGATGGTTTTGTATGATAAATCCCTTGTTAACCTATGAGTATGTGATGGTGTTATAGTAGAGAAACATCTCTTCTTAACCTATGAGTATGTGATGGTGTTATAGTAGAGAAACATCTCTTCTTAACCTATGAGTATGTGATGATGTTATAGTAGAGAAACATCTCTTCTTAACCTATGAGTATGTGATGGTGTTATAGTAGAGAAACATCTCTTCTTAACCTATGAGTATGTGATGATGTTATAGTAGAGAAACATCTTTTGTTACATTTGAGTATGTGATGGTTTTATAGTATAAATCTCTTGTTAACATATGAGTATTGGATGGTGTTGTAGATTAAATTTCTTCATAACATAATGAATGTATGGTGCTGTTATCATGGGTTACCATGTTCTGTACATGTAAACTTTCCAATTTGTGTATGCTCTGGCTTGCTTTCTTCATGCCAGAAGTCTTCGCTCAGTGACAGACAAGGAAACGGACTGTGTCATATCCGATGAAGATTTTCAAGCATTTATCACTAACTTTTTGGCCAAACTGCACCAGCTGTCTGATGAAGTAATTTGTGTGTATGTGGTCAGTGTGATCATTTAGTATTATCATTTTCATTGATATTTTACTTATATGTTGAATTGTTTGCTGAATTGTATGAAGTGGTCCAAATAATTGTTTTATATTGTCAGTATAGGAAGCCACTGTGTTGTAGTAAGTAGATTATTTCCTGTGGATCTGAAGGGTCATGGATTCTAATCCCGACTTTTCTTCTTCAGAAATGACATGGTCTTGCAGGTTGGCCCAGCCTTGAGTGGGTACTAGGTAAACTCCTGGAGAAGTAAAGATGTCCGGCGTAGTGTTGACATCACCCAGCCTTGAGTGGGTGCTGGGTAAACTCCTGGAGAAGTAAAGATGTCAGGGGTAATGTTAACCATATCACCCACCGAGTGTTGAATGGTCTATAAAATTTACTTCGGGCATTGTGTACCAAATACACCTGAGCACATGGAAAAGTTTCCCCCCCCCCCCCCCCACCCGCCTCCAACTATTGTCAAAATGATTGTTTGGTACAGTTCAGGTAATTAACATAATTGAATTTTGAAGTTTGAACAATGGATCATCATCATAGCACAACTGTAGTAACCCATAAGTGCTATGTTCTTCTAACTCAAGTCTGAGTCCGAAGAAGCTCAGCACAGTGCACAGGCTCTGTAGCACCGGCGAGGATCCTGAAATAATTAACATAATTCTGTTGATGTAATTATGACACAGCTCTTGCATGTTATCTGTGATAAGTACTGCTTGTAGCCTCCGCATATGGGTACTGGGGGGGGGGGGGGGGATCTAAGCATGTCATAGAAGACAACTACACGGGGTTCCTTCAAAGTTGGAGTGCATCTGTCTGAAAGTTGAGGAACGAACAGTCTGCATACAAATAAGCCATATATATCAATTGGATGTGCACACATAACTCAAGTTCTCAAACAAAAGTCTAGAAATGGATGAAAATCTGCCAGAGTTGACAGTCGGTAAGTGCTATGAAAAAGAAGCTTGGATGGAAACATCACAAGCATTGGCAAAACTATACCCTGTGTTGATGCTAACTTGTTTGAAGGTGATCATAACAGGGTTTCTTTCAAAAGTTTGACAATAAAGAGAAGAATATTGTTTTTCGAGGTTGATGTGTAGACAAGATTCTGGTACTCACAGCTGCTTTAGAGAAATTCAGTGGGCTCAGTTTTGTTCAGTCTTCACATTGTAGGTTCCGGGGCCTCATTGTGGGGAAAACAAGAATAGACCCACTGCGTCACCAACAAGCATGTCAAAGGAATTCAACTAATTCGGAGCTTCTTTTGAAGTCAGAGTACATCTGCCAGAGTGGCAGGAAACAACCAACTGCACAGAAATGAGCCAGTAAAATGGATGTACACACAAAACTCACGCCCTGGCAGAAAGTCAAGACCAAATGGACGAACAACCAGGACTTTCCACCAGAGCTGACAGCTGTTCAACAAAGAAGAAGAAGTTTCATTCAGTCAACCAGGTGTCAAGGCCAAGACCAAATGGACAAACAACCAAGACTTTCCACCAGAGCTGACAGCTGTTCAACAAAGAAGAAGATGATTCATTCAGTCAACCAGGTGCCAAAGCCAAGACCAAATGGACAAACAACCAGGACTTTCCACCAGAGCTGACAGCTGTTCAACAAAGAAGAAGATGATTCATTCAGTCAACCAGGTGCCAAAGCCAAGACCAAATGGACAAACAACCAGGACTTTCCACTAGAGCTGACAGCTGTTCAACAAAGAAGAAGATGATTCATTCAGTCAACCAGGTGCCATCTCCAGAATGAAAGTTCACTGCTGTGGATCTTCAACACTTTCTGACTCTTACCTTTGATATACAGACGTGCTCACCTGCAGATCCAAAGGTTATGGGTTCAGGTTCTGTTGGCTCTCAGGTCGACCTAGCCTTCAGTGGATGCCAGGTAGAGTCCTGGGAAGTAAAGGTGGCCGGAGTGATGCTGATCACATCACCCACCGAGCGCTGAATGGTCTATAAAATATAGATCTAGCCCTATATGCCCAGTCTGCCTAAAGATGTGAAAAAGAGTCCTTTACCTTTTACCTGTGATGAACACTTTGTGAGACTGATTTTCATCCATCTCTTGATTGTTCATCACACCTATATCGCTGTCTGCCTCTTTCTCACCTGCCTTCTACTTTACTTGAACATGGTTTAAAAAAAAAAAATTTATGTTTTTTTTATGTGCTCAGATTACTTCACTGTCTTGTTTTTTTTTTTAATTATTTGTCTCCCAGTCTCTCGCTCCAGAACCTTTTTCACATACCAACACAATTTTGATTCCAAATGTTTTGGATATTTTTCTTCCAGAAATTACAAATGGCAAGTCAGCAGGATCAACACAATGAGGGTCTGAGATTGCTGAGAAATCTGGCAGGTTTTACGGTGGAAAGAGCTCCCAGTGTTCTTACTTCTGGAGGCACAGGTGTCAAGGTCACGTCTGGGGTTATTCCTAAATTCTGCGTTACTTCACTTTATCCAGGTAACTCATTTATTAGCAATAGTAATAAATAACACGTGTAAAACATAACAGCATCACGCAAAAGTAGGAAGGTCTATTATTACTTGGTAAATATATTTTGATATAATGGCATTTATTGATTATAAATTAGTATAATGGTACTGATGGATCATAAATTAGTAGAGTGGTATTTATTGACCATTAATTTGTCCATTGGCATTTTTGATTATAAATTGGTATAATGGTACCGACGGATCATAAATTAGTATAGTGGTATTTATTGACCATAAATTTGTCTAATGGCATTTATTATAAATTAAGCATGAAATCAGATCTGTTGGGTAGAAAAGCAAGGATATCTCAGCCTAGCTGTAAACCACAGCACAACCAACTGACCATTTTATGGCAAACACAGAAGAAGAAGAAGACGAAGAGACACTTATTATAATATAATATGACAATCTCTGTCTCTTTACAAATGCAGGTTTAATTTATGAGCCGCAAGATCCCATTTTATTTCAAAGTATTGGAAACCCATTCATCTTCCGCTGTGCCGATGGGATACTCCTTGATGGCAACGACCGAGCATTGTCAAGGTTCTTATTTAAGTAAGGTTGGTTTCCGTTTTTGCTGCTGCTAAGAGAGTATGTCTCATGTCTCCGTTTGATAGAGATAGGAAATCTTGTGTCTCCTATTAACCCCTAAACATACAATGAGTGTAGTATTGCCATTTCAATCCTGTGCATTGACAAATCAAGAGCTGTAATGATAATGATGGTAGTATAGCTACTAGCCATTGTACTCCATGTTGGATTGAATGTTAAATTAAGAATCAGGACACTCCCATAAGTGCTCTATCACCACCTTCAGCAGCAGGCGAAGAGCTCCAGCTCCAATGGTACCAGTAACTGTCTAATTGTACATCCGTCTCGCTTTTTCCCTAATTATTGACCTTCGGCCAGATCCACTGGTAACTTCCCACAGCAACATTCTCCTCAGACCGTAAGGATCAGTTTTTTGCCTCCTCACTGTTAACTCACTCCCAAAGGGCCCTCACAAGATCTAGCCTGTCAAACATCAATTCACTACCACGCGGTGCAGAACCGGCCAATTTATCTGACTGCGCATTTTCCAACACACCATGCATGGCCACCATGTTGGATGTGTCAAGAATTATAACCTCGGTAGTGTAGCTACCAGGAGGCTTCCCCAGGGTGGACAGATCCAGAAATATAATGAGGCTTAAAGCCCCTGAAACGCAAAGAGTTTGTGGACTTTTCAATGATTTTTAATCCTGATTACTCCTTTAAAAAAAAGATTTCAGTTATTTTCTATGTTTTTATGAGTTGTTGACTAGTTGTTAGTCAAGGTAAGACAGAATACATGATAATAACAAGGCATGGAAAGGATAAGAATTCCGGCCACTTATAGATCAACAATATGAAAATGAAACAAACAGAAATATATGAGTACTTGGGTGCAAACTTTAGCTGCTCCAAAATGCTAAGAGAAGAAATACAGTCTGGAAATAAAGTATACCATGCCCAACAGCATCTGCTTAAATCAGTCTCTGTTTCATAACACCAAGATCAAAATATATAAAACACCAGTCATTTTATATGGCTCTGAAACTTGGAAGCATGGAAACCTTGTTACAAATTTTTTTAAAGAGTCTTACAACGGATCTTTGGACCCATCAAAGATGCAAACAGTGGGGAATCTAAAGTGAGAAGCAATAGCGAAATTCATAATTTGTTTAAATCAGCATTTATCACTGGCACCATGAGGGCTACCAGTCTGAAATTGTTGGCGCATATTGAGAGATAAATTGCTGTTATTTAATGTCAGAAAGAGAGTGCTAAAATGTTACATAGAACCTGTTATGGTAGTCTGGTCTGGTAGTCTTAGTTTCAGCTTCATAGCAAATGGGTCACTCCATCGTTGCTCCGCTCCTGTGCCAACGAAAAACACATAGAATGTTTATCACAGACCTGTTCTGCTGTATGGAATGTCACTTAACAAATTAAGAAGAATTTGAAAGCAACAGAGATGTGGTTTCTGAGACGAATGTTACGAATACCTTGGACGGTCAGAGTAACCCATAACGATTGTTTGAAAGAGGCTAATGAAAGTAGATCTCTATATACAAAAATAAGAAAGTGACAAACACTGTTCTTTGGCCACATAATGAGAAGAGAGACATTGGAGAACATTGTGACAACTGGAAAGATCAGTGGAAAGAGGGGTAGAGGCAGACTAAGAGAGACGATGCTGGATGTGCTAAAACGATAGCATGGAGGGATATCATCAAGAGAGCTGCTCCAGTCAACCAGGGATCGTGATCTGTGGAGATGCATGAGCGCCTACACCAGTTGGCATGGCACCTGATGATGATATTGAGAGAATGTCTGACGACAAAGAGGCAAGAACTGTGTGCACAAGGGAGTTGAATGGTCATAGATAGACAATGGAGAGATAATATCCAGTCAGACCTACAAACACAGTTTCAGTGTGGCGGACACGCATCTAGAGACTCTTACAACTCCAAAATTAAATGCACTAGTCAGTTCTGTCTCAAATTTTTCTTGACTGTGAAGTGTTATGACAGTAACATTGTTATCAGAATGTGACATGTGGGGTTATCATCTTTGATTTTGTGTTTCAGATTGTGTGCATCTTTTCCTTGTTTTTGGCCAGTTGTGTTTTCTCTCTGCACTCTTCTTATGGCTCCGCAAGTCGAGGCGGAGGAATACCTGTAACTTGGTTTGGGCTTCTTTGAGTGTGAGGGCCCAGCACTGCCTGGCTGGTTCAACAGACTCAGCACCCCATTCACCATTCTCATGTTTCACACATTTATGTCATCAATTTTCTCCTCACCTGCACAAGACTGAGCAGCCTTGCCTGGGATTTGAGGATTAAACATTTTCATCTCTTTTCATGTCCATGTTTGATTGATGTCTGTCGATTTTTTAAATTCCTTTTTCAGGCCTGCAACTTGAAGGTTTGATACCAGTGACTCCAGGAGCCACTTTTATGATATTTGTTCAGTAGGAACAAAACCCTGCATAAAATAGTTATATTCAGGAACTTTGGTATTACCTTGATGTTCCGTGCGGGGTGGGTGTGAATGGCCTGTTGCTACTGTCATGTCTTCCACCCCCCCACTCTCTGTAACTTAGTATGTCAAAGTTGTTGTGACAGTAACATAATTAACAATAGCAGCAATGACCCTATATTGTTAAAATGGTTAACCTAGGTGTACTTGGACCTTTGTCCTTGAACCTAGTGGAGGATGGAATATTTCATGACCTTGCACTGCCTAGAACTAGTTTCTGACAGCATGATATGTTTGTACACAAAGGACACATTAGAACTCATTTGTCACAACGTATGTTTTCTGTAGGTCCTGTCGGGGACGTGACAGTTGTTGGCCACTTTCTGCCTGTGATGATAGCTGGTTGACACCATACCCAAGGTGCCCACTAAATGTTGGACAGTATGTCAACAATCAAAGCAAACGTAAGTTGTACATTGTATATTCCCTTAGCGTAATCTGGTAATCTAGTAATCCTAGTTTCAGCTTCATAGCAAACGGGTCACCCCATAGTTGCTCCGCTCCTGTGCCAATGAAAAACACACGTAGCTCACAGTGTCACGCCATGCACTCAACTCAGAAGCTGGGCGACGAAACTATATCCTTCCAGTCTACAAATGGAGCAAAAATGCAATGGCCACTGCCTGGCAGAAGCAAAAAAAAAAAACATTTGCCACAGCTAAAAAAAAAAAAGTGGCACCATTAGGGTGTCCATCACATTGGGAGGTGTCTGCATATCTGTTTAATACTAGTTTTGTCCATAAATAGCCAAACAAAATAGTTTCATTCATAGTTCCTCCAGGAGAATACAGTCTTGCAATGCATATTCTGGAGTCTAATCAACGTGCAGACACTGGCAGAGAGCTATTTGGCTCATACCCTAATTTATACGAGTGTTTGTTGAATCTGTAGTCCAGTGATTAAGTGAAAAACTGTGAATTGGTCTGTTCTGTTCAGATAATTGAGGGAATCTTTTTCATGGTTATAATCTTAGTTAGTTTTCTTATCTGTTTCTGATTTTCTCTTAATAGAGCTATGACCTGAAAAAAAGAAAGTGGCTGGTAGATTTGTGGCGTGCTGCTGTCTTCCTTAGCTAAAGTGTCAGCACTTTCATTGCTTTTGATGTCACAATGAGATGGAATCCATTGCAGATGGGTTTCTGCCTTTTTGTATGTGTGGTGGCTGACAACACTAGCTTTGTTAATTTTCTTCTTTGGCTTCCTGCATCATTCTCTTGTTTGGCCTCACCACAGTTTACAATTTTTGCAGAATATCCTGCCAATGTGGCATACCAAGAGTTTAACTTACCGATTGACTTCCCTGCCCGCCTGAGACAGTACCTGCCCAACAACCATTATACACCAAGTTTTATTGCTGAAGAAGGCTTGGCCAGGTAAGCACTGAATAGTTTTTATCTACTGCCAAACTTTGCAACCAGTTACTGCTAAGGAGGACTCACACGTTTTTAAATACTATCTTCCCTGTATGGGTTCAGGGACCCCATTGTGAGAAAACAAAAATGGACCCACTGCCTCCCTAGCAAGCATGTCGTAGAATTCGACTAATTGGGGGCACAACACTCAAGTTCTGGAACAAGACTAAAGTCTAGAGGTGGACAAACAACCTGAACATTCTGCCTGCGTTTACAGCCGGTGAATGTGAAGAAGAAAATGTCTCACTGCCTCCACATTTGTTGTACCCACTATCTCACTACCTCCACATATGTTGTACCCACTATCTCACTACCTCCACATATCTCACATATGTTGTACCCACTATCTCACTACCTCCACATATCTCACATATGTTGTACCCACTATCTCACTACCTCCACATATCTCACAAATGTTGTACCCACTATCTCACTACCTCCACATATCTCACATATGTTGTACCCACTATCTCACTACCTCCACATATCTCACATATGTTGTACCCACTATCTCACTACCTCCACATATCTCACATATGTTGTACCCACTATCTCACTACCTCCACATATCTCACATATGTTGTACCCACTATCTCACTACCTCTACATATCTCACATATGTTGTACCCACTATCTCACTACCTCCACATATCTCACATATGTTGTACCCACTATCTCACTACCTCCACATATCTCACATATGTTGTACCCACTATCTCACTACCTCCACATATCTCACATATGTTGTACCCACTATCTCACTACCTCCACATATCTCACATATGTTGTACCCACTATCTCACTACCTCCACATATCTCACATATGTTGTACCCACTATCTCACTACCTCCACATATCTCACATATGTTGTACCCACTATCTCACTACCTCCACATATCTCACATATGTTGTACCCACTATCTCACTACCTCCACATATCTCACATATGTTGTACCCACTATCTCACTACCTCCACATATCTCACATATGTTGTACCCACTATCTCACTAACTCCACATATCTCACATATGTTGTACCCACTATCTCACTACCTCCACATATCTCACAAATGTTGTACCCACTATCTCACTACCTCCATATATCTCACATATGTTGTACCCACTATCTCACTACCTCCACATATCTCACATATGTTGTACCCACTATCCAACTACCTCCACATATCTCACATATGTTGTACCCACTATCAAACTACCTCCACAGATCTCACATATGTTGTACCCACTATCTCACTACCTCCACATATCTCACATATGTTGTACCCACTATCTCACTACCTCCACATATCTCACACATGTTGTACCCACTATCAAACTACCTCCACATATCTCACATATGTTGTACCCACTATCTCACTACCTCCACATATCTCACATATGTTGTACCCACTATCTCACTACCTCCACATATCTCACAAATGTTGTACCCACTATCCAACTACCTCCACATATCTCACATATGTTGTACCCACTATCTCACTACCTCCACATATCTCACAAATGTTGTACCCACTATCTCACTACCTCCACATATCTCACAAATGTTGTACCCACTATCCAACTACCTTCACATATCTCACATATGTTGTACCCACTATCTCACTACCTCCACATATCTCACATATGTTGTACCCACTATCTTACTAACTCCACATATCTCACATATGTTGTACCCACTATCTCACTACCTCCACATATCTCACATATGTTGTACCCACTATCTCACTACCTCCACATATCTCACATATGTTGTACCCACTATCTCACTACCTCCACATATCTCACATATGTTGTACCCACTATCTCACTACCTCCACATATCTCACATATGTTGTACCCACTATCTCACTACCTCCACATATCTCACATATGTTGTACCCACTATCTCACTGCCTCCACATTTGTTACACCCACTATCTCACTACCTCACACATGTTGTACCCACTATCTCACTACCTCCACATATCTCACATATGTTGTACCCACTATCTCACTACCTCACATATGTTGTACCCACTATCTCACTACCTCCACATATCTCACAAATGTTGTACCCACTATCTCACTAACTCCACATATATCACATATGTTGTACCCACTATCTCACTACCTCTACATATCTCACATATGTTGTACCCACTATCTCACTGCCTCCACATATGTTGTACCCACTATCTCACTACCTCACATATGTTGTACCCACTATCTCACTACCTCCACATACCTCACATATGTTGTACCACTATCTCACTTCTTCCATATATCTCACATATGTTGTACCCACTATCTCACTGCCTCCACATATGTTGTACGTTCTATCTCACTACCTCCACATAGTCTGTACCCACACTGTCTTACTTCCATCACATATCTCACAAATGTTGTACCCACTATCTCACTACCTCCACATATCTCACATATGTTGTACCCACTATCTCACTACCTCTACATATATCACATATGTTGTACCCACTATCTCACTACCTCTACATATCTCACATATGTTGTACCCACTATCTCACTGCCTCCACATATGTTGTACCCACTATCTCACATATGTTGTACCCACTATCTCACTACCTCCACATACCTCACATATGTTGTACCCACTATCTCACTTCTTCCATATATCTCACATATGTTGTACCCACTATCTCACTGCCTCCACATATGTTGTACGTTCTATCTCACTACCTCCACATAGTCTGTACCCACACTGTCTTACTTCCATCACATATCTCACAAATGTTGTACCCACTATCTCACTACCTCCACATATCTCACATATGTTGTACCCACTATCTCACTACCTCTACATATCTCACATATGTTGTACCCACTATCTCACTGCCTCCACATATGTTGTAACCACTATCTCACTACCTCACATATGTTGTACCCACTATCTCACTACCTCCACATACCTCACATATGTTGTACCCACTATCTCACTTCTTCCATATATCTCACATATGTTGTACCCACTATCTCACTGCCTCCACATATGTTGTACGTTCTTTCTCACTACCTCCACATAGTCTGTACCCACACTGTCTTACTTCCATCACATATCTCACAAATGTTGTACCCACTATCTCACTACCTCCACATATCTCACATATGTTGTACCCACTATCTCACTACCTCCACATATCTCACATATGTTGTACCCACTATCTCACTGCCTCCACATATCTCACATATGTTGTACCCACTATCTCACTACCTCCACATATATCACATATGTTATACCCACTATCTCACTACCTCTACATATCTCACATATGTTGTACCCACTATCTCACTACCTCCACATATCTCACATATGTTGTACCTACTATCTCACTACCTCCACATATATCACATATGTTGTACCCACTATCTCACTATCTCCACATATATCACATATGTTGTACCCACTATCTCACTACCTTCACATATCTCACATATGTTGTACCCACTATCTCACTACCTCTACATATCTCACATATGTTGTACCCACTTTCTCACTACCTTCACATATATCACATATGTTGTACCCACTATCTCACTACCTCCACATATGTTGTACCCACTATCTCACTGCCTCCACATATGTTGTACCCACTATCTCACTGCCTCCACATAGTCTGTACCCACACTGTCTTACTTCCATCACATATCTCACAAATGTTGTACCCACTATCTCACTACCTCCACATATCTCACATATGTTGTACCCACTATCTCACTACCTCCACATATCTCACATATTTTGTACCCACTATCTCACTGCCTCCACATATCTCACATATGTTGTACCCACTATCTCACTACCTCCACATATATCACATATGTTATACCCACTATCTCACTACCTCTACATATCTCACATATGTTGTACCCACTATCTCACTACCTCCACATATCTCACATATGTTGTACCCACTATCTCACTACCTCCACATATCTCACATATGTTGTACCCACTATCTCACTAACTCCACATATCTCACATATGTTGTACCCACTATCTCACTACCTCCACATATCTCACATATGTTGTACCCACTATCTCACTACCTCCACATATCTCACATATGTTGTACCCACTATCTCACTAACTCTACATATCTCACATATGTTGTACCCGCTATCTCACTACCTCCACATATCTCACATATGTTGTACCCACTATCTCACTACCTCCACATATCTCACATATGTTGTACCCACTATCTCACTAACTCCACATATCTCACATATGTTGTACCCACTATCTCACTACCTCCACATATCTCACATATGCTGTACCCACTATCTCACTACCTCCACATATCTCACATATGTTGTACCCACTGTCTCACTTTCTCCACATACATCTCACTAACCCTAAATATGTTGTGCTCATCATCTCATTACACCCACGTGTTCACCCATTAATCACTACCCTCATATATGACACCCATTAATCATTACCCCCACATTTGACAGTCATTAATAGTGTCTGTTTTCTGTAAATTGCAGACAGTTGAGAGTTGTTGCACTGGTCTCCCTGCGAGAAATTCACTGTGGAGAGGAACTGTTCTCCTCATACTTCACTGTTGTCAGATAGCCTTCATCATTGCTAGTTAAACTAACAGCTTCACAGAAAGATATCAGACATGTTCAAAATGTAAATGATAGGTAATTGACAGATTATCCTCTCTGCACATCGGACAAGTCCATAACTGCTCAGATCCCATCTTCAGTATATTCTTCAGCATCTGGTGATGATAACACCAATTCTGTGTTGGTTTGATTTTCTTCTTTGGCTACCTGTATAGTGTTCATGTTTTGCGACACCTCTTTTGACCTGAAGTTCCTGTACTCTTTTGAGTGTTACCGATTCAACATTGTCTCCAGAATCATCTTCTCTTCCTGCCTCCTTGAGAGCTTTGAGAATGTCGGCCCAGCCCATTGCTTTTCCTATACCTACTGTAGCCCTGTTAGCAAGCCAGTCTGCTCGTTTGTTCCACTAAATGATGCATCCTCTACCTTGACCCTGTGTGATCTGAGAGACACTACCAGTAACTAAGCTTTCATCAGTATAGCTCAATGGAACACACATGTTCCTCTATTACTACAAGATGTGTTTGTCCCGGGTCCCCATTGTGGGGGGTAATAAGAATAGACCCACTGCCTCCCCAATGATCATGTCTTAGAAGTCGACTAAATCAGGACATTCCTGGAAGTCAGAGTACATCTGCTTGAGCGGAAAGGAACCAAGAGTCTGCATACAGATGAGTTTGATCTGTAAAACAGAAGTGCACGAAACACTAAGATTTTGGAAAAGGATTAGAGTTCAGAACTTTCTCCCGAGCTTTTCAGCTGGTGAATGTGAAGAAGAAAAAGAAGTATTTAGTGTTTCGTTGCTAAAGATTTTGGTCGAAACATTCGGTTTATTTTTGCACATATTTCCATTTCCTCTGTCAAGCTTACTAGTCTTCTTGTCATCAGCTCGGCTGTAGGCACCCATTTTTTATTGCATCAAGGTGGTCATAAATTGGTGTAAATTTTGAAAGTGCCTGCGTCTTCACACATTACATGTAAAATAAACAATAAATATATATTACTGTGTGGTGTTATCTATGAAGGTGATGTTTAATGTTGGTAATGGATCCCTCTCATTTCACAGTTTAATTTCCACATGTGATTCATACTTTTCCTATTTATCGCACAAGACCGACCTCAGCACAGAGCAGAAACTATGTAGTACTAACGTATATCCATGTGTGTATACACTTCTTCTTCGTGTTCACTGTCAGTGAACTCCAGTGGAAAGTTCTGATTGTTGGTCCAATTTTGGACTTTAGTCTTGTTCCAGAATTTGAGTGTTGCATGTATATCTTTTTGACAGATCTGGCTTAATTGTATGCAGACTGTTGGTTTCTTGCCTTTCAAGCAGATTCACTCCAGCTTTAAAGGAAATCTGATAGTCGACTCTTAAACATGCTTGTTTGGGAGACAGTGGGTCATTTTATTTTCCCCATAATGGGGCCCCGGATCCCACACGGAGAGTGTGTGTGTTCAGGATTCACTGAGTGGTTTTGAGGCATGGTGTCCGCCTGGAGTGCTGGAAGTCCCGAGTTCAAACTGTAGTGAAGGCTGGGATTTTTTCACATGGACCTCTAGTAATTTCCCCTGGTCTCTGGGTAGTAAGATTAGAAGCCCATGTGTATTGTTGCGCACGTAAAAAAATTCCCTGACAGTTGAAAATTGTGCCCTAAGGATGCTGCCAGGCAAAATTTTGAGTTACAAATCTACCCACAGTATTTCAGGATCCTCTTCGGTGCTATGGAGTTTGTGCACTGCGCTGAGAATGTTCAGACTCAGGTAGGAGTTATAAGTAGAACGCCGCACTAATGGGCTACTACTCTTGTGCCATGATGTTGATTCGTTGTATAAACCATAAACAACATGCTATAAATATTCTGCTGTGTGTATAGTCCCATAGCCAATACTCTCACTGAGTTGTGAAGTATTAGAGAGGACTGCATTCACTCCAGAAGTAAAGGACCCTTTTCCACACTTTTAGGCATATAGGGCTAGACCTACATTTTATAGACCAATCGGCACAAGATGGGAGATGTGGTCAGCACCTGGTACCCACTCAAGGTTGAGTCGACCTGGGAGGCAAGGTCATTTTTGGAAAAAGTCCAGCTCTGCCAGGGAGTGAACCCACGACCTTCCAATCCACAGCGAGCATTTAGTCCTTCCACCACAGTGACTCCAGTAGTGCCATGAGTATATAATGCTGACTCATTTTTTTATAGACATTGTAGGTAATTGGGTCAACATCTCACCAGTGGTGACTTTATTTCCCAGAACTTGGTACCAATTTCAAAATGGGTTGATCTGGGGGCTAGGGTCAATTTGTGGGGGACGAAATATGAGAATCTGATTTGGAATGGATTTGAAGCTAAGACCTTCGGGCTGGCAGATGAATATCTAGCCACCATGGTTCCTCTGTAAAGTTTTGGACTTTAGCGTATTATAGGCCATAACATGCAAGGGTCTTGGATGGTGGAGCCAGAGGATACCATTAGCTGAATTTACGTATTGGAACATCTCAGGATCAGTGCCGAATGGATAAAATCACCAGAATAATTACAGGGGCAGACAGGTAATAATTCACCTGGGTAGGTATTGCAAAGAATGGGGCCAAGCCGCCGCTGATACTGAAAAAAAAAGATATAAAACCCAACGAAAACTATTTTAGCAAGCTTCACAATATAACAAATACAAGCGTGAACGTTGTCTCGAAATAGCGGGGTTGATGGTTTCTCTGCAGAATGTCTACACGTAAGTAAGTAACTTTTACCCCACTAGGACATCGCACTAGCGATAAACACCCGATGACACAAAGTGCCACCATGTGGATGAGGATCACGCCTGGAGAGGTCTAAGAAACCGCGTTTAGCCATTAGACCATATTTATGGTTGGGCTAAATTGCGGCCCCTGGCAAGAGCCAGGATAGGGCTTCAAACTAAAGACTAAATCTCACAAGGGGATAACTAGGTGTTGAAGCAACAATTCGCCTACACGTAACTGACTTTCTACCCCACCAGGACATCACACAAGCGATAAACACCCGATGACACAATGTGCCACCACGTGGATGACGATCACCGATGAAAGATCCCAGAAACCGCGATCAGCCTTCAATACCTAGGGGAAAACTGTAAGGGCAGTTCAATCCCCTAGGAGTGAAACTGAAATAAGGGCCTGCGTCAGCCAGCATGCTTGACCAGGTGTTAAGAAAGGTGGAGACAGGTGGCTTCGCGCAGAGTGGCAAGCGTCAATTCAGAGATCTCGCGTATTAGCATCCTTTGGATATTTTCTCCAGGTCATGTCGGTGTGTTGGGAAATAAGCAGGCTGGCCAGTTCTGCACCCCTTGGTGGTGAACTGATGTATGACAAGCTAGATATTGTGAGAGGGCACTCTTCCGAATAACGGTCCCTTATTATTATTATTATTATTCAAAGACAAAAAATCCCCGGAGCTCAACACTCAGGGGAAAGGTGACAAGTATATATAATCAGACAGTTACTGGTGCCATTAGAATTGGAACTCTTGTTGACTTGTTGCTGAAGTTGGGGACGGAGCGCTTATGGGGGTGTCCTGAGCGCAGTGATGTCGATTCTTAATTCAACATTCATTCAACGCGTAGCCAAAAATGCCTTTTCTTTGACCACATGACATTGTACTCTGGATATAGTGGTTTGGATTCGAATCTCCAATGTTTACATACAGTCAAGATGGCGGTGTCCACGTATCATGGACATCCACTGGGAGTATATTTACAAGTTTTGCTGATTCTTTTAGGAGCTTTGACCGTTCGACTGTGTGTTTCTATGTGGGGATACTCAGGTAATATTGACGGTTGATTAATATAGTCATAGATAACAATGTGAGCTTTCAAATTTTCTACACTGACCAACTTTAGATTAAAGATAAGCACTTGGGCTATCCTCTGAATAACGGTCCCAAATTATGGAGGCCGAAAATACACCCTAACAGGGTCTCAGTCACATGTAAATTGCGGACCTCTCCCGGCGACTACACAGCATACCGCCGAGAGTATCTCCCACGACGCTACTCGCGGCGCGGACCGGGACTAAACTAGATGGCTGGGACTCACTAGCAAGTAAGATGGAGGAAACTGCATGAGATGCGGTAGCTGCTGCTCGTGAGTCCCAGCCATCTAATTTAGCCGTGCCTAGTTGTGCGGGAGATACTCTCTGCAGTGACTTTAATCTTTTTCGCAGAATATTTGACTGAGGTCCTGTTAGGGTATATTTTCGGCCTTCATAATTTGGGACCGTTATTCGGAGGATAGCCAGCACTTAAGCCTTCTTCTTAAACACAAAATCATTTTGTCACAAATTGTGAAAAGATACGCTGCAGAATCAACCCCAGCTACCAGTTTTACTAGGCAGTTTTTAATTTAGTAGTTTGCCGCTGCCCTCTGAGCGATCAGCTCTCGATATCATTACCCAAATTAACATAAGGCGGTCTGATGGTAAACTGTCTTCAGTTGGAATCAAACTCACCGAACTGCATACCCCAGCGCGTACTAATTAGTATTAAATAATAATAATATTATTGTTTTTTATTTCAAAAAGTTTTTCGTCGTGTTGAGCTGGTTTAAATTCCAGCGGCCGGTGGAAAGTTCTGCTTATTTGTCCACTTCTAGAATTTAGTACTTAAAACTTGTTCCAGAACCAGTTCCCATTTATACTTGCTAGTTACTGAATCTCCCATTTATACTTGCCAGTTACTGAGTCTCCGGTTTATACTTGCCAGTTACTGAGTCTCCGGTTTATACTTGTGCTAGTTTCCCTGGTGAAGTGGTCTAGCTGTTTGCTTTATGTTCTGGAAAATGTGAGTCAATTTTTCTGTGCACATCCATTTTACAGATCTAGCTTATTTGTATGCAGACTGTTAGTTCCTTACCTCTTGTGAAGATGTACTCCGGTGGCTCCGACTTTGAAAGAAACAACCCGTATTAGTTGGCTCTTACGACATGCTTGTTTGGGGGCAGTGGATCTATTCTGCCCCCCCCCCCAAATAGTGCCTCTGAACCCACACAGGAGGGGGGAACAACAGGTATTTTGAAATGGGGTTCTATTAGTTCTAGACGAACGAACAAACAAACTTTATTTTCAGAGTGTTACAAATGTTTATGTATATTTTCGAAACCAAATCCCTGTATGTGTTTCAGACCCCATATTGTGTGTGTGTGGGGGGGGGGGGGATAAACCTACAGTCCCCAACAAGCTTGTCGTAAGAGTTGACTAATTACGGGTGTTTCCTTTGAAGTCGGAGCACATCAAGCCAGATCTGTAAAATAAATGTGTACGCAAAACTCAACTTCTGAAACAAGATTAAAGTCCAGAAGTGTACTATGAACTATAACTTTTCGCCAGAGTTTATAAGCAAATAAACATGAAGAAGAAGAAGAAGAAAAACCAAACAATACTTAACTCTTTCAGTCCCAAGGAACGCATCATACGTTCATAGGTTCCTACCTAGAAGCCCAATGAACGCATGATGCGCCGATTTTATTACTTTCTTTACTACCCCCTGGGACTGTGATGCTAAACCCCCTGGGACTCAAAGAGTTAATGAGTGATACTGTCAAAATATAATGTTTCATGTTTTGTTTCACCTGTAAGTAAGCCTATCAAACTACATCTTGCTCCATTTTCAGGTCAGGGCAAACCTCCCATGTTTGGTGACCTTGAAGCTCAGAGACACTGGATGGAGGTCACGGTCAACTTGCCGACCAGTGAATGGTAGTTTGGTTTCATTATATTTGAATAGAAAATAGTCTGTACCATCTCCACGGTGAAGGTTGGTTGCAGTCTACCACTGTTGTTTTCAGGAATATTACAAGGTGTGACCCCAAACTCTTCCATGGTGCGACTCTTGTACTTTTGTCTGAAAGTCACGAGAACTATTTTTTAAAGTATCCACTGTGGGGATCGAACCACAGTACTCAAGGATCATGAAATTGTTAACCCCGTTCACTAACCTCTAAGAGACGGAGCTGTATGTTTATTATAAATATTGTGACACTTCAAGAATTAATCAAGGAAACACCGGCACCTGGGAGATCAAGTATCTTGAAGCCTCTTTGCCCCACCCCGCATCCCGAAACTTCAGAGGGCCCCTGTGTCCCTCCCCCACACCCCTTTCTCCAAGGAAATAATTTTATGGGTGGGTTGAGGCCAAAACCATGTATAGAAGCTATATTTTTATATCTTCTTCTTCTTCTTCGCGTTCACCAGCTGTAAACTCTGGCGGAAGGTTCTGGTTGCTCGTCTACTACTGAACTGCAGTCCTGCTCCAGAACCTGAGTGTTGCGTGTGCATCAGTTTTACAGATGTCATTCTCTTGAATACAGACTGTTGGTTCCTTGCCTCTCCGGCAGACGCACTCCGTCTTCAAAGGAAGCTTCCCAATTAGTCGACTCTTACAACATGCTTTTGGGGAGGCAGTGGGTCTATTCTTGTTTTCCCCACAATGGGGCCCCGGAACCCACACGGGGGTATTTTTATATGATAGTTTCTTAGCTTGTCCTTGTCTGTGTCGCATGACAAATTACTGTTCTTACATTTTGCCTCATTCTCTGTTTCATCTGTGGCATTTGAAATGCCGGCGCTAAAACTATTACGGTGGAAAAGAACTTTTAATTTTATAATTTGTTTTATATTTTTTGTCGCCCTTGACCCGGCATTCCCAAATGAGGCTGTGTACGAGATATTTTCTAACAAATCATATGGTAAAAATCAACTACTATATTATAAGTTGTGCAGTGTTCTTAGACCCTATATTTTTGGAAAATAAATATGTCCTATACTTTAGGAAATATGGTAAATCTATGTCAGAATCACCTAAATAAGGAGAGGGTTTGGTTTGTTTATGAGTGCGTGCATGTGTGTTTGTGTAAATGGTATCGTGGACCTCTTATATCTGTTCCACATGGTCCCCCCCCTGATGGGAACTACAGGACTAGGTGAATCTTCTTCTTCTTTGTGTTCGCTGGATATAATCTCCAGCAAAAAGTTCTGGTTGTTCATCTACGTCTGGATTCTAGACTTATTCCAGAACTTGAGTATTGCATGCACATCCATTTTACAGATCTGACTTATTTAAATGCAGACTGTTGGTTCCTTGCCTCTCAGGCAGATGCACTCTGACTTAGAAGGAAACCCACAGTTAGTCGACTCCTACGACATGCTTGTTGGGGGGGGGGGCAGTGGGTTTGTTTGTATTTTGTATTTTCCCCACATGGAGAGCTAGGTAAATATAATAGAAAAGGAGGTGGGGTTTTTATTTGGGCAAAAGAACCTGATATGATTATTGAAAACACTGGTATCAGCAACATTCTAGAAGATTATGGACATATCATCTTCATCAGTTATCTTTATGCCTAGTGGCACATGAGGCTTCACAGAGGACTTTCCATGCTTTCCTGTCCTGTGCAATCTTCAGTGCAGTTTTCCATGGCAGGGATGCAGCACTCACTTCACTTTCCATCGTTCGTCTCTATGTTGTTTTTGGGTGCCCCTTCTTTCTCTTTCTCTCTGGTGTCCAAGTGAGAGCTGTTTTGGCAGGTATATCAGGATTCATTCTCATAATGTGGCCAAGCCATTTCCATCTTCTCTTTGTTATCATACAGACTAGAGTTTTTTGGTTTGTGACTTGAAGTAGTTTAGTATTGAAGATTGTATCTGCCCAGAAAATTTTGATAATTCTACATAGACATTATGGACAGAGTCTCAATAATAATAAATCAGGAACTTACCTTGTGGGTTCTGGAGCCCAGTCTTTGATGAAAAAGCATATACTAGTTGTGCCTTAACAAGCATGGTGTGAAAGTGACCAAATAACAACTTACTTCAGTTGGGTGTGTTGAACTGGAAAGTATTGCAGCCTAATTGTCAATGAGAACAACAATGCCAACCACCTTCTTATGGGCAAACGCAGTTGGTCAGAAACTCCACCGATTTCATCCTCATTTTCAAAGACTTCTGTATGCTTCAAAGTTGCAAAACTCTTCTAAAACAGGCTGCTAAAGGGTTCATAGATTTGTTGTTGGCAGAATAAATCTGCATTTATAGTGGGTCAGATATAGATCAGGAAACATTGAATTAGATCATGATGATTCTGATTTATGATTATAAATTTAGTTTAATGTATGTCTGATGTTATGTTCATTGATTTGTTGCCAGGTATGTGCAGACTGACCGCAATGACCTCCAGTATTGGGGGCTCGACTACCCTCCCTTGACCGCTTATCACATGATGCTGAATGGGAAGATGTAAGTTTGCCCTATGACATCCCTATCTTTCTGTCTATCTGTCAGTTGCAGATGTGGTTAAGGTCTTATGGAAGCACTTGAGCAGTTCGGAGGAACAAACAGATCATCAGTCTGGTGTGAGTGATGCAGCGAGAAGTGGCGAGGGGATCAAACCGATACTCTGCGCTCAGAGGAAAAGCAAGATGGCCGTATAATCAGTCTTTTACTGGTACTATTGGTATTAGAAATCTACACTGACTGCTGAAAATGGGGACAGAGAATTTATGGGAATGCCCCAATTGCTTTGATGTCAATTCTTGAATCACCTCAACTTTATCTGTTTGTCTGTTTATCTCTTTCTCCTCTTTTTCTTCTTTTTATCTTTCCCTCCCACCCCCCAACCCCTGTCTTGCAGTTGTGTTTTCTCTGTATTGTTTTTTTAATTAATATAACAAACTGACCTCAGATTGATCCCCTTGCTTCATAGGCAGCTAGATCCTGACCACATGTCACACATACACAATGTTATACCTGATGTTTGTATCACTTCTACTGCAAGATCTCCTTGTAGAGATTAGAACAAGAACCACTATAGCTAGTCCCTGTGTGGGTTCAAGGCCGCGTTATGAGAAAAGACAAGAATAAACCCACTGCCTCCCCAACATGCAGGTCATAAGAGTCGACTAATTGGTGGCTTCCTGATGGTGGCACCATGAGTATTGGAACTCTTTCCTGGCTGCTGAAGATGAGGATGGAATGCTTGTGTGAATGTTGCAAGTGCTGTGATGTCAGTTCACAGATCAGCACTTAAAGTTCATGCATGGCGCTCTCATAATGATGATGCATTGCCTTTGTTTTTGCACACTGTGACGACCTCAGATCACAACCAGAATACAATTTTGCCCGGGCAACGCCATTAGGCTATTCTTTTTCGTGATTTTTTTACATACGCAACAATACACACGGGCGTCTGATCTTACTACCCAGGGACTAGGGGAAATTACTAAAATTCGACGTGAAAATCCCAGCCTTCACCGGGGCTTGAACGTGGGACATCCAGCATCCGAGGCAGACACTATGCCTCGAGACCACACAGCCCCCTAGTCAGCATATTTATTGGTATAGTCCATGATGATATTGATATTTATGATGTTATATATATAATGTTATGCATGGTGTTATTTATTCTGTTAATTCCCAGAGCTCTCCGTGTGAATCCCCAGTTGGTGGCTTTAAATGTGTCACGTGGAATTGAAGATGCAGATGCCAAGGTATTCATGAGGGCTACAGGTATTGAAATCTAACATCTTTGTAGCTTTATACCCAGGAGGATTTCAGTATACAATCAATCAATCAATCCTCATCGTGCCTATAGGTACATTGGGCAGAGACAGATCTCAGTGTACATAGTCCACATGTTTTGTCTCTTTGTTTCCTTTGTGAAGTACAGTGGTACCTATTTTGATGTACTTCATCCAATTCGTTCCTGATCCTTAAATATATACCATGTTGGACGTACACCAAAGCAAACATATACCAAGGTACCACTGTATATACACCAATTCCACTGTCTTTGGTCCACTTCTTTTCTGTCACTGTACTTCCTCCGTGAAGTTCAGTGGTACCTCGGTATACTGCTGAATCCATTCCTGATCCACAGAGGTGTACCAAATTGGATGTATTACCAAAGCAAACGGAAACCAATGTGTTGCTGTAAACACCTCTAAAAGATTTCAGTGTCCGTAGTTCACTTGTTTTCTGTCACTGTGCTTCCTTTGTGCAGTATTGCGTAATTTGTTATGAGATTGTCATCACCGCCTGTATTTACCACTTTTAGAGTGGTGTGGGGCCAGTAGGGCGCGGTGGGGGAGGGAGGTGTCTGAGGATTTAGGGTAGCTGAGCCGGCGGGGATCTGGGGGTGAACCTGAGGATTTAGGGTAGCCGAGCCGGCGGGGATCTGGGGGTGAGCCTGAGGATTTAGGGTAGCCGAGCTTGCGGGGATCTGGGGGTGAGCCTGAGGATTTAGGGTAGCTGAGCCGGCGGGGATCTGGGGGTGAGCCTGAGGATTTAGGGTAGCCGAGCTTGCGGGGATCTGGGGGTGAACCTGAGGATTTAGGGTAGCTGAGCCGGCGGGGATCTGGGGGTGAGCCTGAGGATTTAGGGCAGCAGATCCGGCGGGGATCTGGGGGTGAGCCTGAGGATTTAGGGTAGCCGAGCTTGCGGGGATCTGGGGGTGAGCCTGAGGATTTAGGGTAGCCGAGCCGGCGGGGATCTGGGGGTGAGTCTGAGGATTTAGGGTAGCCGAGCTTGCGGGGATCTGGGGGTGAGTCTGAGGATTTAGGGTAGCCGAGCCAGCGGGGATCGGGATTGAGCCTGACGATTTAGGGCAGCAAAGCTTATGCAATCACTAGAAGCTGCACAGATTGAGATTTGTATTTTTGCCCCTGACAAAAAAAAAAGCTGCGCTCCTTACCGAGGATCCAACCCAGGTTTAGAAAAAAAATGTAAACAGCTGATAATGAAATCTCTTTCTTGTTGTTCCTCTTTTACACTTTTCTTTCCTCCCATTCATTTTCACCCTGTCTCTTTCATTCTGTATTTATCTTTCTCATTATATTTATCTCTCTTTGTCTCCCCCCCCCCCCCCCCCCTTTTCTATCCTTCTCTCTGTATTGATCTGTCCATGGCAGTTGTTTAATAAAGATATTAGAGTATTTGTCAAGGACAAATCCTCCGGTGTGGGGTTGGAGGTGATAGTGACATCTCAGGGTCTGTGTTCTTGCTTTCTCAGTTTTCATTAGCATACAGCATTTACAGAATCTTTCATTGCCTCCAGCACATTCCAGTTTCTTTATCCCCCTGATTTCTTCTTGTTCCCAAATTTATCTGTCATACTAAATGTTTGCACTCCCTTTTTGGTTCCAGGTTATATTGATTTATATTGTGTACCACACTGATCAATAATAGGTGCATTTATGCTGCACTTATTTGTATTTGGCTGTCTTTCTAGTTTAAAAAAAAAATCTGGCAAACATAATATAATCACATATCTGGAATTTTGAGAAATGAAAGTGCCTGTTTATATAATTGTGATGATTTGCTGTATCCATAATGTAAGAATGACATTTTCATGGCAGATATATTTTTAATGTCCTAACATATTGTTCTCTTTTCTTCTGCAGTTCTTCTGATGGATGCACTGTTTTTTCTACCAGCCGTGGCTGCTTATTTCTTGCTTCAGCAACCAAAAGTCCAACCTGGCAATGATTTTGTAAGTTTTTCGCTTACAGATTAGTTTTGTGTGCGGCTACTTTGTTACTTTGCAATTACCTGTTTGTTTCAAGCACACAGTCCTGTTTGTGACCAGTATTTGAATAGATATATAACATGTTGTGACCACTGGAAAGATCTGTGGAAAAAGGGATTGAGGAAGACAAAGAGAGAAGATGCTTGACAGTCTTGTTGCATGGCATGGAGGTGTGTCGGCACCCGAACTGATAATGCTGCAGGAGATCGCAGATTATGGAGAGGCATGATGGCCCACGCCAGTCGGCAAGGCACCTGATGATGATGATATAGCAGCCATTGATCGCTGAAGAAGAAGAAGAAACCTGCTCCCCTTTTGGGTTCCAGGGCCATATTTGGAACATAAAAAAACTACCAATTAAAGGTTTGCTGAAAGGGACATGTTGGGTTGAAATGCAAGATATTACATCTTAGCTGTAAACAACAACACGGTGACATTGACAGCCCTTCTAAGAACCATTACTGAAGAAAAAAAAGCTGAAGTATTCACCTTGTATGTTATCAAGACCCTTATGGAGAGCAAAGTATAATACTGCACCTTACCAAGCATGTCATATAGGCTATTAAGTGAGGGTTGGTCTTACATTTGGCTACCCTGTTCCATTTTCTTTTAAATATTTAAAACAAAAGCCAACCAGCAAAAAATGGGTGAGGGTCTGTATTTCCTTGGGGAATGCAAGGCCGAACAAGAGAATGTTGAAATTAAGGATCAACATCACAGTACTCTGAACACGCCCATAAACGCTCCGTCCCCATCTTCAGCAGCAAGCGTAAGAGTTCCAATTCCGATGTTACCAGTAACTGTCTGATTGTATATCCGTCTCATTTTCCCCCTGAGTTTTGAGCATCTGCCATATCCCCTGACAACTCCTCGCAGCGCCATTCTCCTCAGACTGTAATAATCTGTCTGTGCCTCCACACTGTTCACTCACTCACTCATACATCAATTCACCAACAAGTGATGCAGAGCCGGCCAGTCTGTCTGTCTGCTCATTTCCCGAAACGCCAGCATGACCTGAAGAAAATACCCAAAAGATGCAAACTACTCAGGACCTCTGAATTGATGCTTGCCACTCTGCACGGAGCATGCCTGTCTCCACCTTTCTCAACATGGTGCTAGTTACTGAGTCTCGTTTATACTTGCTAGTTACTGAGTCTCGTTTATACTTGCTATTTATAGAGTCTCCCATTTATACTTCCTAGTTACTGAGTCTCATTTATACTTGCTAGTTACTGAGGCTCGTTTATACTTGCTAGTTACTGAGGCTCGTTTATACTTGCTAGTTACTGAGTCTCATTTATACTTGCTAGTTACTGAGGCTCGTTTATACTTGCTAGTTACTGAGTCTCATTTACAATTGCTAGTTACTGAGTCTCATTTATACTTGCTAGTTATAGAGCTCCCATTTATACTTGCTAGTTACTGAGTCTCGTTTATACTTGCTAGTTACAGTTTCCTATTTATACTTGCTAGTGACTGAGTCTCCTATTTATACATGCTAGTTACTGAGTCTCGTTTATACTTGCTTGCTAGTTACAGTCTCTTATTTATACATACTAGTGACTGAGTATTTATTCATGTTAGTTACTGAGTCTAGTTTATACTTGCTAGTTACAGTCTCCTATTTATACATGCTAGTTACTGAGTCTCGCTTATGCTTATTAGTTACAGTCTCCTATTTATACATGCTAGTTACTGAGTCTCGCTTATGCTTATTAGTTACAGTCTCCTATTTATACATGCTGGTTACTGTGTCTCCCATTTATATTTGCCAGTGACTGAGCCATTTATGCTTGCAAGTTACAGTCTCCCATTTGTTCTTGCCAGCTACTGAATCTCCTGTTTATTCTTGCTAGTTACTGAATCTCCCATTTCCGGGAAGGCTAACCCGGTCAAAAAATGCCCGCAGAAGTCGGATGTGTTGGCCAAAAGGTGCAAATATCGCAGCCATGCTGTAAACGGACACAATGTAATTACATCTTCGGATGAACACAGAAGAAGAATCTCCCATTTATACTTGCCAGTTACTGAGTCTCCCATTTATACTTGCTAGTTACTGAATCTCCCATTTATACTTGCTAGTTACTGAATCTCCCATTTATACTTGCTAGTTACTGAATCTCCCATTTATACTTGCTAGTTACTGAATCTCCCATTTATACTTGCTAGTTACTGAATCTCCCATTTATACTTGCTAGTTACTGAATCTCCCATTTATACTTGCTAGTTACTGAATCTTCCATTTATACTTGCCAGTTACTGAATCTCCCATTTATACTTGCCAGTTACTGAATCTCCCATTTATACTTGCTAGTTACTGAATCTCCCATTTATACTTGCCAGTTACTGAATATCCCATTTATACTTGCTAGTTACTGAATCTCCCATTTATACTTGCTAGTTACTGAATCTCCCATTTATACTTGCTAGTTACTGAATCTCCCATTTATACTTGCTAGTTACTGAATCTCCCATATATACTTGCTAGTTACTGAATCTCCCATTTATACTTGCTAGTTACTGAATCTCCCATTTATACTTGCCAGTTACTGAGTCTCCGGTTTATACTTGTGCTAGTTTCCCTGGTGAAGTGGTCTAGCTGTTTGCTTTATGTTCTGGAAAATGTGAGTCAATTTTTGGACTGGGTCATTTAAGCTGCTGGTGTAGTCTTTTCAGAGATGTCTTGGGTTGTTTATAGTGCTGTGAAGCTCGTGCTTTGTTTCACACTCTTCACATATTATCAATCTCTGTGAAAATTGGCCAAGTTAGAGGGATCTTGTTCAGTTTTTGTTTAATTAGAACTGTTTTATGCTTTGTTCCAGTTTGGTTTTGTGGCAGTCTTGGCAATCTACCCAGGCCTTATCCTTATCGACAATGGACATTTTCAGTATCCTTGCTCTGTGGGGTAACTCTCACTTGTTGAAACATCTAAAGTGAGAGTTCATTCCCCTCCTGACATTGTAGATATTATAGAGAATGCAAACAACATTTTTAAAACAAACATTCCAATGTGGCTGTACGCCAAAACTATGTTAGAGGATTGTTGCCTGTGAATAGTTTTTAATTTGTTGTTCATGAAAGCTGTGAAGAAGATGATTTGAAGTTTGCAGAGATATATGCTAAAACTGAATTAAAGTAGCAGAAAATGTATTGATCAACACTCGTAGAAAGATAGAAGAACACACTAGACAACATAAAAATCTAAAGCTATAGTTACTGTGCCGGGAATCAAACCTGTCACCTCCAGACAGCATGTGCGCCTCACTATGGAAATAAGTGCACTAAGAACATGGTCAACTAGGCACCCACAAAAAATTTGTCTTATTGGCCATGTCTGTCGTACAGCTGGAAATCCCAAACTATGGAAAATGGACAGAATTCATTTCAAACCATTGAAATGGTATCATAGGTTACAGAGATGTTCGTAAATTGTTGCTGTGCTCATTATTCAACCTATGCTTCTTTAATATACATTTTTGTAACCTATGGTGCTGTATTCACCTGCTGTAAACTCTGTTTTAACAGATCTGGCTTATTTGTGTACAGACTGTTAGTTCTTCGCCTCTTAGGCAGATGCACTTCAACTTTGAAGGAAACTTCCCTAATTAGTCGCTGTGTACCTCATGCTTGTTAGGGAGGCAGTGGCTTTATTCTTTCTTTTCTCCCAGAATGGGGGCCCTGGAACCCACACAGGAAGAATTCTCTACCCTGGGGCTATTCTGCTGGTGGACTGTGGGCCAAATCTGGCCCACAGAGACCTAGCAAGTGACCAGCAGATCACGGCAAGTTGTATTGTATTTATGAGCTTTCTGTACTTTGGTTTGAACTTCTGGTCCCAGATGATCCCCAAATTAAAAAATTGTGGCCCCAGAGTTAACTTAGTTGAATAGCTCTGCTGTACATGGTATTTAAAGGGTTACACAGGACAAAAATAAATGGAGGAATTGACTACAAGCCCTGTGTGGTTATATAAACAGGACAGTGAGGATGATTGCTGGTTTGTGCCACCGACTCTACCTGTGGGTTCCTGGGCCCCATTGAGGGAAAAACAAGACTAGTTCCACTGTCTCGCTGGAAACATTTCGTAAGAGTCAATTAATTGGGAGTTTCCTTTTAAGTCGGGGTGCATTTGCCTGATAGGCAAGGAACCAACAGTCTGCATACAGATGAGTCAGGTCTGTAAAATGGATGTGCATGCGATGCTCAGTCTTAAACAGGACCAGAATCCAGAAGTGGACAAACAACCAGAACTTTCCGCTAGAGTTTACAGCCGGTGAATAAAAGAAGATGTATCACAAGCATACACAAGAATATTTCTCTGCTGGTGAAGGTTTCAGTTTTTTTCTGTGAGCAATATCCTGAGCTGAGTACAGATACAACAACATCAGCCTGGGTCTGCTTGTACTGGCAACCCTGGCCATCGCTCAGCGAAGAGATTTCATTGGGGCTGTCCTCTTTTGCTGCGCTCTGAACTACAAGCAGATGGAGCTGTATCACGCGCTGCCATTTTTTGCCTATCTGCTGGGCAGCTGCTTCAGAACAACGTTGACCGCTGGGTTTGTACTCTCTTTTGCTGGTGTGTCATTTTAGTTATTAAATCTGTAGTAATGTCACTGTCAGATGGATATGTGTGTAATGTCACTGTCAGACGGATATGTGTGTAATGTCACTGTCAGACGGATATGTGTGTAATGTCACTGTCAGATGGATATGTGTGTAATGTCACTGTCAGATGGATATGTGTGTAATGTCACTGTCAGATGGATATGTGTGTAATGTCACTGTCGGATGGATGTGTGTGTAATGTCACTGTCGGATGGATATGTGTGTAATGTCACTGTCGGATGGATGTGTGTGTAATGTCACTGTCGGATGGATATGTGTGCAATGTCACTGTCGGATGGATGTGTGTGTAATGTCACTGTCGAATGGATATGTTTGTAATGTCACTGTCGGATGGATGTGTGTGTAATGTCACTGTCGGATGGATATGTGTGTAATGTCACTGTCGGATGGATGTGTGTGTAATGTCACTGTCAGATGGATATGTGTGTAATGTCACTGTCAGATGGATATGTGTGTAATGTCACTGTCAGATGGATATGTGTGTAATGTCACTGTCGGATGGATGTGTGTGTAATGTCACTGTCAGATGGATATGTGTGTAATGTCACTGTCGGATGGATGTGTGTGTAATGTCACTGTCGGATGGATATGTGTGTAATGTCACTGTCGGATGGATGTGTGTGTAATGTCACTGTCGGATGGATGTGTGTGTAATGTCACTGTCGGATGGATATGTGTGTAATGTCACTGTCGGATGGATGTGTGTGTAATGTCACTGTCGGATGGATATGTGTGTAATGTCACTGTTGGATGGATATGTGTGTAATGTCACTGTCAGTTGGATATGTGTGTAATGTCACTGTCAGATGGATATGTGTGTAATGGATGTTTGAGTTGTATCCTGATAGAGTCCCAAACCACTGTGTTGGCCAGCAAACCTTTGCCCACTGCCTTCTTTGTATGTGGACCGTACTGCCAGTAAATTGTTGTACAGATGTTCCTTTATGCCATGGCAGCTGGGTGTAACCAGAGGGTCCGGCCGACTCTCTACACTTAGAGGAAAGACAAGACGGAAATATAACCAGATTTTGACCCGTACCATCAGTATTGGAACTCTGTGCTGGCTGCTGAAGATGAGGACAGAGCACACATGGGAATGCCCTGAATGCTGTGATGTCAGTTCTTGACACAACTCCTTTATTTCATGATGCCTGTCTGACTTTTCTCAGTCTCTTTTGCTCTCCACTTTTCATGCTGTCATGACATGCTGCAGTTTTCTCTCTCATGATTTTCCCAAAGAATATTTTCCTCTGTTTGTTCACCGGCTGTAAACTCCAGTGGAGTGTTCAGGTTGTTCATCCATTTCTGGACTTTAGTCTTGCTCCACAACTTGAATTTTGTGTGCACATCTGTTCTACATATCTGGCTAGCTTGTTGTCAGACTGTTTCTTGCCTCTTGTACAGATGCAGTCCGACTTTGAAGGAATCCCCTAACTTTCGACTCTTACAGCATGCTTCTTAGGCAGACAGTGGATCTTTTCTTGTCCCCTCCCCACCACTGTGACCTCAGAACCCACATGGGGTCCAGAGAAATAAATTATCGCCATCAGATTTGTGTAACCTATTCTCTCTGTGAGCTAAACTTCTTTCAAGATATATTTTAGAAAAATTGTTTTTTTATCTATCCATAGTGTTGGCATCAGTTGTTAGTTCTTTTTAGCTCTCTCTAGTGTTCTCATCATTTTATCATCTGACCATCCATGATTTCCTTCTGTACATCAAAATGGGCTGCCATATATATATATATATATATGCCATAAAGATTGATAGTCATATCTATTCACTACCTTCTGTCTCTTGTACTTTAGTCAACTCTGACACAGATGATCTTCCATGTCATGTTGTCCGACTGTCCAGCATCTTTTCTCTCAGCCTCTCTCTCTCTGCCTCTTTTCGCTCAGAACTGTCCTACTCCTGTTCTCCTTCTCATGACATGACCAAAGAATGTAGATTGTCTCCTTCTGATGTGGGCAGTTGGTTTTCTTTGTGAGTCTGTTTCTTTAAAGACATCTTAATTGCTCTTTTTTATTTATCTAGGGCAGTGGTCGGTAAACTAATTATTCAGTAGAGCCAAACATCAGCAACAGGACGATACAAAGTTTTGGAGAGCCAAATTTCTTGTCAAGAACCATGTTTTTTGGAGTCAAAACCGATTTGTGGCCAGCTGGCCAAGCTGCACTCAGGTCACTAAAGAGCTGTGAGCCGACCACTGATCTAGGGTATTCTCATCATTCATCTATAAAACCACATCCTCACCACTTCCAAATAATGTTTCACTAATCGTCAAACTGTCCATGATACACTTTCCTATTGCAAGATAGTATTGATATAGTTCTTGGGAATTCTCATTCTCATCTCATTAATAAAGAAAGATTGCCATGAATATTCTTCACTTTGTAAAATGCGGCTGATAAAGATAGATTTCCTATAATAAACCTTACTCTCATCAGTCTTTTTTTTTCCCCCATTTTACTCTTCAAGGTTGAAGAAGTTGGTGTCGCTGGCTTTGATTGTGTTAGTCACTTTTGCAGCAACATGGTTTCCATTCTTGTGGACAGTGGAGTCAGCACTTGCAGTTGTTCAGAGATTATTCCCTGTTAAAAGAGGTCTTTACGAGGTGAGTTTATTTCTTCCAATGACAAGCTTTGTCTAACTTTTGATAGAAATGAGTTTTTGAAAGAACTTAACAATATATTGTTATGCTGTGAAGTTGAATATGAGGGAAATTCTAAACCATGTATGAAATAAACAATAGTTTTATCTTATCGTCTGTGTCATGTGGCAGTGGTAGTCCACCCTTATGTCTCATGTACTTTCAGTCACTTCTGACACAGATGATCTTCCATGCCATGATGTCAAACTCTCTAGCGTATTTGCTGTCTGTCTCTTTTCCTCTCCTACTTCCCCACTGTCACAATGTCCTCCAGCTTCCCCCTTTTCATGATATGACCAAAGAATATAGATTATCTTCTCCTGATGTTGGCAGTCAGTTGTGAAACAGTTTCTTTCTAGACATCTTCATTGCTGTTTCTTTCTATCTATCCAGGGTGCTCTCTTAATTCGACTATTAAACCACATTTCCACCACTTCAACATAATTTTTCACTAATCGACCAACTGTCCATGGTTCCGTCCCATATATCAGGATAGTATTTATACAGCTCTTAAGAATTCTGTTTCCCTTCTCACTTGACAAAGAGAGACTGCAAAAAATATTTTGTGAAACACTGCCTTTACTTGAGCTATTACTACATTTAACTACATTTAACTACATTTAACTATATTTAACTACATTTAACTACATTTAACTATATTTAACTACATTTAACTATATTTAACTACATTTAACTATATTTAACTATATTTAACTATATTTAACTATATTTAACTACATTTAACTACATTTAACTATATTTAACTATATTTAACTATATTTAACTACATTTAACTATATTTAACTATATTTAACTATAATAATAACTATACAGAAATAAAATCAGTCTTGTTTGCTTGAGCACAAAAGCAGATCGTAATTTTAAATTTTAATGATTATGCTGTTTTAATTTGTATGAATTATAATGTAATTAGTACTTTTGAAATCGGAAGGTACTAGATAAATAATATAGACACAGTTCAAATTTGTCTGCTAACTGGTTTAGCATTATGGTGAATCCAGAATTGAGATCACTGCACTTGGGACATTCCTACAGATGTTCAGTCTCCTTCCTCAGTGGCCAACAAAGAGTTAACATACTAATAGTGCTAGTTACAAGACAGATTAAAAGTCTGTCTATGTTTACCCCTCAGTGTTGAATATCTTCCAGACCCTCTGCACACCCTGTGTTGAATTAGTCTGTCTGTGTATACATTCTCTGTCTGTTCTATTGCAATGTCCATTATATCCCAGAGAACCTATAACACGTCCACTTTGTCATAAAGTAGCTCATTGCCCAGATGAGTGGCAGCAGCCAGTGTATCAGCCATTGAAATGTACGTTTATCCATTTTCAGGACAAAGTCGCCAACTTTTGGTGTTCTGTTTCTGTTCTCATCAAGTTCAAGGAGAAGTTTGCAGACTCTGACATGGCATTGATTTGGTGAGTGAATATAACCGCAAACAAACAGAAACAAAAGAGCAGCTTCCTGTCCGTTAATAATGATAATATTTCTTCTTCTCAACATTCACTGGCTGTAAACTTTGGCAGAAAGTTCTGGTTGTTTGTCTGATTCTGGACTTTGGTCTTATTCTAGGACTTCAGTTTGTGTGTGCACATTCGTTTTACAGATCAAGCTTATTTGTATGCAGACTGTTGATTCCTTGCCTCTCAGGCAGATGAGCTCTGACCTCAAAGGAAACACCACTAATTAGTCGACTTTTACGGCATGCTTCTTAGAGGAGGGTGGTGGGTCTAATCTTGTGGTCCTCAAAGTGAAGCCCCTGAACTAACACTGGGAGGACCAGGGTTCAATCACCAGGAGAGTTAGGATCTGACTATTACTGCTTCTTCCAGAAGAGTCTCGAGAAAACTGAGATGTGGTTCTTGAGAAGAATGTTACAATTACCTTGGACTGTCAGAATAACTAACAATGATTGCCTGGAAATGGCTAATGAAAGTAGAACATTATATACAACAATGAGAAGGAGACAAATAAAGTTCTTTGGTCGTGTGATCAGAAAAGGAGCACTAGCAAATATTGTGATGACTGGAAAGATCACTGGTAGAAGAGGTTGAGGCAGACCAAGAGAAATTCTGGTGGATGGCTTCAAATAGTGGCATGGAGGAACATCATCAGTGGAAGTGATCCAAAACGCCAAAGACCGAGATCTGTGGAGATGTATAAACGCCTACGCCAGCTGGCAAGGCACTTGAGGATGACTAACTTTCCCTTGTACTTTCTGGCGCTTCATTTACAACAGTGGCTCTCAACATCCCTAATGCCTCGACCCTTTAATCCAGTTCCTTATGTTGTGGCGACACCCAAACATTTATTTCCCTTCATAACTTCAATGAATATTGTTTTCCGATAGTCTTAGGTTACCCCTATGAAAGGATCGTTCTACCCAAAAATGGGTCACGACTGGCAGGTTGAGAACCGCTGATTTAGAAGAACAAAGATTAGGCCTTCTTCCCCTCCTCCCCCCACAATAAGCATGTCATTCAAGGGGAGTAATTATGGGTGTTTCCTTCAATGTCAGCATGCATATGCCTGAGTGGTGAAGAACCAACAGTCTGCATACTCACAAATCAGATCTGCAAAATTAATGTACATGCAAAACCCAAATTCTAAAAAATCACTAAAGTCCAGGAGTTGGCGAACAGGCAGGACTTTCCACAGGGGTATACAGCTTGTAAACGTGAAGAAGAAGAAGATAATAGAAAATAATATTGTTGTTCATATTATAACTTCTAACTCTTATTCCTAAATTAACCGAATACAGAGGTTCTAAAAAGTCGAGGAAGGAAAAAGAGTTAGCTGAGGTACATAAACAGACTTGGTCTACCTTTTCTCTCTTTCATTAATACTGACTGGTGATATTTAGATGAACAACTAGAGTCACCCTGTTTTGAGACGCAGATCGTTTTTTCTCCAGTTTGTCTGTGACCAGTATCTGTTTGTTGCCCTCCTTCCTGCATCTGCTCAAGAATCCAACCATTAGAAGTTTCCACTATGCTTTGGTTTGTATGGGTGTTTGTGTGTCCGTGACCTGGTGTGGTGTTTTTTGTGTGTGCCTATCACTGGTTGTGGTTTTATAAGTCAGTGACCAGTTGTGGTGTTTTGTGTGTGTGCGTGTGGGACTTTGGTTGTGGTTTTGTGTGTCAGTGACCAGTTGTGGTGTTTGTGTGTGTGTGTGTGTGACTTTGGTTGTGGTTTTGTGTGTCAGTGGCCAGTTGTGGTGTTTGTGTGTGTGTGTGTGTGTGTTTGTGACTATGGTTGTGGTTTTGTGTATCAGTGACCAGTTGTGGAGTTTTGTGTGTGACTATTACTGGTTGTGGTTTTGTGTGTCAGTGACCAGTTGTGGTGTTTTTGTGTGTGTATGTGTGTTTGTGACTATGGTTGTGGTTTTGTGTATCAGTGACCAGTTGTGGTGTTTTGTGTGTGTATGTGTGTTTGTGACTATGGTTGTGGTTTTGTGTATCAGTGACCAGTTGTGGTGTTTTGTGTGTGCCTATTACTGGTTGTGGTTTTATATGTAGTGACCAGTTTAGGTGTTTTTGTGTGTGTATGACTTTGGTTGTGGTTTTGTGTGTGTGTGACTATGGTTGTGGTTTTGTGTGTCAGTGACCAGTTGTGGAGTTTTTGTGTGCCTGTAAGTGGTTGTGTGTCTCTTTCTCATTCTACACAAGAGTAGAATGAGAGTGGGCCAAGAGGCAGACCAAGAAGAAAGTGGAGGTATAATATTTAGATGGACCTACATACACTTGTGGAGTCACAGTTGGGGTGGGGGGTGGGGGTGGCAGTGGGCCTGTTATTTTGTCTCCCAGAATGGGGCTTCAGAATGCACTTGGGGAGTTCAAGACTGTGCTGTCACACAAGCATGGCGTGTGCAGCTAGCCACAGAGGATTTAACTATTGAGATTCTTTTTTTTTTTTTCCCCACTCACAATATTCTCAGAATGTGGCTGATCAGACATGTTTCTCTTGCTGAATCAAAAAGAAAAAAGCTCAAATAATCCCTATGTGGGTTCCAGGACCCCATTGTGGGGAAAACAAGAATAGACCCACTGTCTCCCCAACAAGCATGTCCTAGGAGTCAACTAATTGGGGGCTTTCTTTGAAGTCAAGAATGGCAAAAACAACCAGCTGCACACAAATAAACCAGTAAAACGGATGTAAACGGACGTAAATGGACGAACAACCAGGACTTTCCACAGGAGCTTACAGCCGGTAAATAAAGAAGAAGCTCAAACAAGACCGTCTGACAACTTTATTTTGCAGACGTGTACATTTAACAGATTAATACTTCCTTGGTGTTCTCATTTCAGATTAATACTTCCTTGGTGTTCTTCCTATTCTCGTTCCATGTTCATGAAAAGAGTATACTTCTAGCTGCCATGTAAGTATAGTTTAGTACACTTCTAGCTGCCATGTAAGTATAGTTTAGTACACTTCTAGCTGCCATGTAAGTATAGTTTAGCATACTTATAGCTGCCATGTAAGTATAGTTTACATCTCACAAATAAATATAGCATGAGTCAGGGCTTTTTTCTATAGACAAAGTACCGGTATTCACCACATTGTCATAAAAATAAAAAGAACTGCTGGTGCTAACTACAAAGTGTCTATTACAGTAGCGCCGAAAAATAGATGCCTTAAAAAAGATGCTGATATTGCGTATTGCAATTGGCCAGGAAAAACCTGGTATAAGTATAGTTCTAATAGGGAATCTCAGCAAAAGAGAAATTAGCGAGAGGACAAAAATGGCTGTTTACCGCTCTACCTATGTGCCAGTATTGACGTATGGGTGTGAGTCATGGGCAATGACAACAGCTCACAGAAGCCAGCTTCAGGCCTCAGAAATTAGATATCTGAGAAAAGTGGTGCAAGTGACAAGAAGGGACAAAGTTTGCAGTCAGACAAAACGTCATGACCTTGAAGCCCAGGCTTCCCAGACTCGAGTAGATCAGTCAGATGCGATGGTTTGGACATGTTTGCACAATGGGAGAAAATCAGCCACCACGGCACCGTAGGAGGCCAAGAACCAGGGAACCAGACCACCAGGACGACCTAGGGTTCTCAGGGAAAACAACATCCGACAGTCCCTGACTAACAGAGGTCTCAAGTAGAGCAAAGCTAAAAATAAAACTGCTGATAAAGAAGTTTGACGATCTCTCTGGTGAACCTCTACACCCCCAGGTAGAAGAGGAGCATTTAAGTAAACATAGTAGGTCTAATAGTGAAGCTGTGGTAGCACATGGTAGTCCATATTTATAACAGAGGCTGTCCTGGTCTAGTATTCAGAACGGCCTCAACCTCTGCAGATTTGTTTTTTCATAACTGACTTGGGCTCCCATGTTGACCCAGCTAAAATAAATAATTCCATGCATAGAAAGATCCTTTGTTTTTACTCATAGTTCTAATACATTTCTAATGTAAAAACTACCTAGAAAAACCACAACAGCCAAATAATGCTGGGGTTGGTTCTGCAACATCCTGTAAAGGACACACAATTAACCAAAATATGTTTCTTTATATTCATATATGTTTTGTGTGTATTCATTTGGTCAAATGCTTGGATTTTCAGACCTGCCTGTCTGGTTGTGAAGTCTGATCCATTTGCCGTCGTCTGGTTCCTGCTGATTTCAGTGTTCAGGTAATCACAGACACATTGTCGCTGTCTTTACTTTTTCCCAATGCTTATTCTCTGCCCCTTTGATTGCTTACCATCCTTCCCTGGTGTCAGGTCTCAGAAAAAGGACCACACTGATTTATGGATAGATAGTTGACAGATCGTCCACATTGTGCACTGAACCGTTCAGTCCATAAGTGCTTAGATCCCCTTCTCAGTTAATACAACAGTGTGTAGCTGCTGACGACACCAGTTCTGTGTTGGTTTATTCTTCTCCTTTGGCTTCCAGCATAGTGCTCTTGTCTGGCTACATCCTCTTTAACATGCTGTCTTGCAGTCTGATCATGATTGCAGATTCACAGTCATCACTTGGTTCTCACAAACGACTCACCTCTAATTGGATATTCAGTATATCAACCTGGTCCATGACTAATCTGTCCTCCAAAATAACCCTACCTGCAAGCCTATCAACTTGCTCATTCCATTTTACACCTGATCAAAAATGGAACTGATGTTTGTTACCATGATCAGCTCAAAGATACCAACCACTGCCTTTAGGCCCAGCCCATCTCTGTCTTCCTGGGCATACTCACTGAGAAGGCATGTGTGGTTGAAAGTCTGTGTCTCCAGCCATGTTGTTGCTTTGATCACTGCCATAACCTCCATAGTCAGACTACCTAGGGGTCGTCTCCAGCCATGTTGTTGCTTTGATCACTGCCATAACCTCCATAGTCAGACTACCTAGGGGGGCGTCTCCAGCCATGTTGTTGCTTTGATCACTGCCATAACCTCCATAGTCAGACTACCTAGGGGGCGTCTCCAGCCATGTTGTTGCTTTGATCACTGCCATAACCTCCATAGTCAGACTACCTAGGGGGCGTCTCCAGCCATGTTGTTGCTTTGATCACTGCCATAACCTCCATAGTCAGACTACCTAGGGGGCGTCTCCAGCCATGTTGTTGCTTTGATCACTGCCATAACCTCCATAGTCAGACTACCTAGGGGGCGTCTCCAGCCATGTTGTTGCTTCGATCACTGCCATAACCTCCATTGTCAGACTACCTAGGGGTCGTCTCCAGCCATGTTGTTGCTTTGATCACTGCCATAACCTCCATAGTCAGACTACCTAGGGGGCGTCTCCAGCCATGTTGTTGCTTTGATCACTGCCATAACCTCCATAGTCAGACTACCTAGGGGGCGTCTCCAGCCATGTTGTTGCTTTGATCACTGCCATAACCTCCATAGTCAGACTACCTAGGGGGCGTCTCCAGCCATGTTGTTGCTTTGATCACTGCCATAACCTCCATAGTCAGACTACCTAGGGGGCGTCTCCAGCCATGTTGTTGCTTTGATCACTGCCATAACCTCCATAGTCAGACTACCTAGGGGGCGTCTCCAGCCATGTTGTTGCTTTGATCACTGCCATAACCTCCATAGTCAGACTACCTAGGGGGCGTCTCCAGCCATGTTGTTGCTTTGATCACTGCCATAACCTCCATAGTCAGACTACCTAGGGGGCGTCTCAAGCCATGTTGTTGCTTTGATCACTGCCATAACCTCCATAGTCAGACTACCTAGGGGGCGTCTCCAGCCATGTTGTTGCTTTGATCACTGCCATAACCTCCATAGTCAGACTACCTAGGGGGCGTCTCCAGCCATGTTGTTGCTTTGATCACTGCCATAACCTCCATAGTCAGACTACCTAGGGGGCGTCTCCAGCCATGTTGTTGCTTTGATCACTGCCATAACCTCCATAGTCAGACTACCTAGGGGGCGTCTCCAGCCATGTTGTTGCTTTGATCACTGCCATAACCTCCATAGTCAGACTACCTAGGGGGCGTCTCCAGCCATGTTGTTGCTTTGATCACTGCCATAACCTCCATAGTCAGACTACCTAGGGGGCGTCTCCAGCATGTTGTTGCTTTGATCACTGCCATAACCTCCATAGTCAGACTACCTAGGGGGCGTCTCCAGCCATGTTGTTGCTTTGATCACTGCCATAACCTCCATAGTCAGACTACCTAGGGGGCGTCTCCAGCCATGTTGTTGCTTTGATCACTGCCATAACCTCCATAGTCAGACTACCTATGGGGCTGCGTGGTCTCCAGGCATGGCGTCCAACTCGAGTGCTAGAGGTTCTGGGTTCAATTCCCAGTATGTGCTAGGATTTTTTCATGCATACTTGGACTTCTAGTAATTCCCCCTGGTCCCTGGATATTGAGATCGGATGCCCGTGTGCATTGTTGCGCACGTAAAAAATCCCTTGGCAGTTGGAAATTGAAAAGAGTTGCCTAAAGGCAAAAATTTTGCCTGTGCCACCATTTGGAGTTAAAAATCTACCCAAAGTATTTCATTAACTTCACCGGTGCTACAGAGCCTGTGCACTGTGCTGAGCTTCTTCGGACTCAGACTTGAGCTAGAAGAAGAACGCAGCACTTATGGGTCACTACTCCTGTGCCATGTTGTTGATCCGTTGTTCAAACCTCTGAACCCCCAGTCAGACTGCCTGAAGTCAAGGCAAACACCCCAGAATCTTCCTTCTGCCTCCAACCCAAGCCATAAAGGATATCAGGTGTACTGGGTGTACGGCGCTCACTTCATATCTGTATAGATTCTGTTATGAGAAGAACAAACTGGAACATGTCTGTATAGATTCTGTTATGAGAAGAAAAAACTGGAACATGTCTGTATAGATTCTGTTATGAGAAGAAAAAACTGGAACATGTTGTATAGATTATGTTATGAGAAGAACAAACTGGAACATGTTGTGTAGATTCTGTTATGAGAAGAACAAACTGGAACATGTCTGTATAGATTCTGTTATGAGAAGAAAAAACTGGAACATGTCTGTATAGATTCTGTTATGAGAAGAAAAAACTGGAACATGTTGTATAGATTATGTTATGAGAAGAACAAACTGGAACATGTTGTGTAGATTCTGTTATGAGAAGAAAAAACTGGAACATGTCTGTATAGATTCTGTTATGAGAAGAACAAACTGGAACATGTTGTATAGATTCTGTTATGAGAAGAAAAAACTGGAACATGTTGTATAGATTATGTTATGAGAAGAAAAAACTGGAACATGTCTGTATAGATTCTGTTATGAGAAGAAAAAACTGGAACATGTTGTATAGATTATGTTATGAGAAGAAAAAACTGGAACATGTTGTGTAGATTATGTTATGAGAAGAAAAAACTGGAACATGTTGTATAGATTCTGTTATGAGAAGAACAAACTGGAACATGTCTGTATAGATTCTGTTATGAGAAGAAAAAACTGGAACATGTCTGTATAGATTCTGTTATGAGAAGAACAAACTGGAACATGTTGTGTAGATTATGTTATGAGAAGAACAAACTGGAACATGTCTGTATAGATTCTGTTATGAGAAGAAAAAACTGGAACATGTTGTATAGATTCTGTTATGAGAAGAACAAACTGGAACATGTTGTATAGATTCTGTTATGAGAAGAACAAACTGGAACATGTTGTGTAGATTATGTTATGAGAAGAACAAACTGGAACATGTCTGTATAGATTCTGTTATGAGAAGAAAAAACTGGAACATGTCTGTATAGATTCTGTTATGAGAAGAACAAACTGGAACATGTTGTGTAGATTATGTTATGAGAAGAACAAACTGGAACATGTTGTGTAGATTATGTTATGAGAAGAACAAACTGGAACATGTTGTGTAGATTATGTTATGAGAAGAAAAAACTGGAACATGTTGTATAGATTATGTTATGAGAAGAAAAAACTGGAACATGTTGTATAGATTATGTTATGAGAAGAAAAAACTGGAACATATCTGTATAGATTCTGTTATGAGAAGAACAAACTGGAACATCTTGTGTAGATTATGTTATGAGAAGAACAAACTGGAACATGTTGTGTAGATTATGTTATGAGAAGAACAAACTGGAACATGTTGTGTAGATTATGTTATGAGAAGAACAAACTGGAACATGTTGTGTAGATTATGTTATGAGAAGAACAAACTGGAACATGTTGTGTAGATTATGTTATGAGAAGAACAAACTGGAACATGTTGTGTAGATTATGTTATGAGAAGAACAAACTGGAACATGTTGTGTAGATTATGTTATGAGAAGAACAAACTGGAACATGTTGTGTAGATTATGTTATGAGAAGAACAAACTGGAACATGTTGTGTAGATTATGTTATGAGAAGAACAAACTGGAACATGTTGTATAGATTATGTTATGAGAAGAAAAAACTGGAACATGTTGTGTAGATTATGTTATGAGAAGAAAAAACTGAAACATGTTGTGTAGATTATGTTATGAGAAGAACAAACTGGAACATGTTGTGTAGATTATGTTATGAGAAGAAAAAACTGGAACATGTTGTGTAGATTATGTTATGAGAAGAAAAAACTGGAACATGTTGTATAGATTATGTTATGAGAAGAAAAAACTGGAACATGTTGTGTAGATTATGTTATGAGAAGAAAAAACTGGAACATGTTGTGTAGATTATGTTATGAGAAGAAAAAACTGGAACATGTTGTGTAGATTATGTTATGAGAAGAACAAACTGGAACATGTTGTGTAGATTATGTTATGAGAAGAAAAAACTGGAACATGTTGTATAGATTATGTTATGAGAAGAAAAAACTGGAACATGTTGTATAGATTATGTTATGAGAAGAAAAAACTGGAACATGTTGTGTAGATTATGTTATGAGAAGAAAAAACTGGAACATATTTGTATAGATTATGTTATGAGAAGAAAAAACTGGAACATATTTGTATAGATTATGTTATGAGAAGAAAAAACTGGAACATGTTGTGTAGATTATGTTATGAGAAGAAAAAACTGGAACATGTTGTGTAGATTATGTTATGAGAAGAAAAAACTGGAACATGTTGTGTAGATTATGTTATGAGAAGAAAAAACTGGAACATATCTGTATAGATTATGTTATGAGAAGAAAAAACTGGAACATGTTGTGTAGATTATGTTATGAGAAGAAAAAACTGGAACATGTTGTGTAGATTATGTTATGGGAAGAAAAAACTGGAACATGTTGTGTAGATTATGTTATGAGAAGAAAAAACTGGAACATGTTGTGTAGATTATGTTATGAGAAGAAAAAACTGGAACATGTTGTGTAGATTATGTTATGAGAAGAAAAAACTGGAACATGTTGTATAGATTATGTTATGGGAAGAAAAAACTGGAACATGTTGTATAGATTATGTTATGAGAAGAAAAAACTGGAACATGTTGTATAGATTATGTTATGAGAAGAAAAAACTGGAACATGTTGTGTAGATTATGTTATGAGAAGAAAAAACTGGAACATGTTGTATAGATTATGTTATGAGAAGAAAAAACTGGAACATGTTGTATAGATTATGTTATGAGAAGAAAAAACTGGAACATGTTGTATAGATTATGTTATGAGAAGAAAAAACTGGAACATATTTGTATAGATTATGTTATGAGAAGAAAAAACTGGAACATGTTGTATAGATTATGTTATGAGAAGAAAAAACTGGAACATGTTGTGTAGATTATGTTATGAGAAGAAAAAACTGGAACATGTTGTATAGATTATGTTATGAGAAGAAAAAACTGGAACATGTTGTATAGATTATTTTTATGAGAAGAAAAAACTGGAACATGTTGTATAGATTATGTTATGAGAAGAAAAAACTGGAACATGTTGTATAGATTATGTTATGAGAAGAAAAAACTGGAACATGTTGTATAGATTATGTTATGAGAAGAAAAAACTGGAACATGTTGTATAGATTATGTTATGAGAAGAAAAAACTGGAACATGTTGTATAGATTATGTTATGAGAAGAAAAAACTGGAACATGTTGTATAGATTATGTTATGAGAAGAAAAAACTGGAACATGTTGTATAGATTATGTTATGAGAAGAAAAAACTGGAACATGTTGTATAGATTATGTTATGAGAAGAAAAAAACTGGAACATGTTGTATAGATTATGTTATGAGAAGAACAAACTGGAACATATTTGTATAGATTATGTTATGAGAAGAAAAAACTGGAACATGTTGTATAGATTATGTTATGAGAAGAAAAAACTGGAACATGTTGTATAGATTATGTTATGAGAAGACAAAACTGGAACATGTAATCATTGGAAAGATTAATGGGAAGAGAGAGAAGAAGGCAATACAGAGAAGAGTTTTCATAGTCGTTTGTCCTGGCATGAAAGGTGTCATTGCACACGTTTTGATACACTGCTAGAGGTCACATGATCCGTCATGCCAGTTGGTAAGACACTTGATGAATTAAAATCATTTTAGAACACTTGTTGGTAAGACACTTGATAAATTAAATTCAAATCATTTTTGATCACTTGTTGTTTTCAGCATGCTGCCATTGTTGTTAAAAGACGGGCTCTTGATTCCTACACTTGCTACCACTGGCCTCTTCTGGCTAATAGTCACACATTTACTGAATCCAACCAGGCAGGTGTCTCCACAAGCCAGGAAAATTGTAAGTTGACATTTTACTTCTCCTAAGAAAAGCTGTTAACTTGTGTTCTAAAAAAAATATAGTAAAGTTTGCATTCTGTGCACATCAGAATAGTAATATTTATCTTTAATTCGGGCTAAAAAATAAAAAATAAAGGTTTTTGTTTTTTAAAGCAAATAATAGTACAATTTGTCTTAATCTGACCAAGCACAGATCACCTATTTTTTAAATTTTTTTTTATCTAGCTGATAAAAGTTTGCCTGATATTCATATGCCACTTAAAAAATATTTATATATGTGTGTATATATAAAAAAAATTAATACAAAAATAAAAATAAACATATAGCTATCCGATAATATATTTATATTAGTTGATGGAAAAGCAAAGGAGAGAAACCAACAGAAGTGTCAAGAAAGCAAAACAATCATCCTGGGAACATTTCGGTGAGTCATTAGCAGAAAATGAGAAAACAGCCAGCAGAACATTTTTCAAAGTAGTTAAAAATATGCGGAAAAGAGATGAGAGCTACAACCCCACTGAAATAATTAATGATAAGACAGGAAGGCCATTGATAGATCCACCCGAGATAGCAGAAAGATGGAGGGAATACTTCAATGAGCTCTTTAATCCTCTAGGAGATCATCAGGAAAGAACAACTGAAGAGCACAGAGCAACAGTGTTAGAACCACACATACTAATGGATGAAATAGAAAAAGTCATTAAACAGTCTCCCAAATATAAAGCACCAGGAGCTGATAGATTACCAACAGAAATAATTTAAACAGCAGGTGAAAGCAGCATCAGATGGCTTCACAGAATATTTAATGCAGCATGGGTACAACAAACGGCCCCTATTGAATGCGGTCACTATCGAGGCATCTCTCTTTTAAGCCATGTTGGCAAAATGTATGCCAAGATAATAGAAACAAGACTGAGACCAGTGATAGAACCACAGCTGGCAGAAGAACAGATGGGATTTAGGAGAAATAGAAGCTGCACAGATGCAATCTTCACACTTAAAAAGTTAATAGAAAAGAATATTGAATACAATAAGGACTTATTTGTGGCATTCATAGACCAGGAGAAGGCATTTGACAGAGTCGACAGACAATTATTATGGAAAGTAATGGCAAGATATGGAGTAAGCGAACACCTCATCGAAGTGTGCAAAAGTTTATACAGGGATTGTAGAAGTGTAGTTAGAATAAATCAGGGAACATCTCATCCTTTCACAGTGACATCTGGAGTAAGACAGGGGTGTGTCTTATCACCACTGCTGTTTATCACCTACATCGACAGTATATGCAAGAATGCCAAGCCCATGAATGAAGATCTTAGTAAGATCAACGAATAACTCCTTGCAGATGACCAGGCCTTGATAGCAGATACAGCCATGAAATTGAAACAACATCTAACATTCATAAATGAAGAATGTAAAACAAATAATATGAGAATCAACACTGAAAAGACAGAAGTAATGTCAATAGGAAAAAAGAAGACAAATCTAAACATAGCAATAGAGTGCAAAGGCATTAAACAGGCATTTGAGTTTAAATATCTGGGAACTACATTTACCGAAGATGGGAAATTGGATAAAGAAATTGACATCAGATGCAGTAAAGCAAACCAAGTATTGGGACAGTTAGCCCCCCTCTTACAGCATAAGACAATCCCAATCAGCACAAAGAGACATCTTATTCAAAGCATATTTATTCCAACTCTGTGCTACCAGTGCCAGACATGGTCACTCAGAACAAACCATAAAAGAAAATAAGTAACCATGGAAATGAGATGTCTGAGAAGGGCTGTAGGAGTGACCATAAGAGATAAGATCAGGAATTAGATCATAAGAGAAAAAGTCGGCACAGAACCAATTCTAAATTACATACGAAGACAGCAAGTGAAATGGTTTGCCCACTTAGAGAGAATGCCTTGTGACACCATACCATACAAAGCATACATGGAAAGAGAAGAAGGACGTAGAGCACGTGGTAGACCAAAAACAAGATGGAAGGATAACATCAGAGAAACTCTATAACAGCACGATGTGCCTATGGTCGAGGCGGCCAGAAGAGCTAGAAACAGAACCTTATATCTCCCTCGACACCCACAGCGGTAAAAGAGGAAGTGAAGAAGAAGACGGGAAAGCTTGTGCGCCTAAAAACCGTCGATGACCCAGCAGATGGAAAAGGGATTGATTGATTGAACCTAAGGTATTCTTGTGTGCAATTTAAAGTTTCATTCATTAAATTACAAAGATTTGCACCTCAAAATTATGTTTATTTCAGTAGCTACGCATTTTAAATTAATTTTTTTTAATTATATGATAATTTTATGTCATTGAAACATAAAATGTATACTTTATTATTTTTTTTTTTTTCAGTTTACATTGTCTCTACTCATTGCTGTCTGTATGGTCCTGGCAACTTTATTCATCCCACCACCGAAGCGATTCCCAGATATCTTTCCACTACTTATCTCCATTTATTCTTGTGGACATTTTTTTATATTTGCTGGACATTTTCATCTCCGACAGTTTGGTAGGGAGAGTTTTTTGTTGAGTACATCCAACAGTGATGGCCATTTTGATTCTGCCTATGATGCTTCAGAATCTGCTGTACCGAATGGTAATAACGATGTTCGAAAATCTCCGAAGGAAATATTGAATGCATCAAAGGTCAAACACAGGAAACACCAAAAATGAAACCCATTACAGATTACTTCTTTTAGTTGCTGTATGTTTAGATGTTGCTTGGAGAGTATCATATTCAAATATAGCACATGCTCTACTGCCATATTTAGGTGTGTTTTATCTCTATCATGACAAGATACTAGAATGTCGAATTAACTCTTTAAGTCCCAGAGGTTTAAGCATCACAGGCCCAAAGAGTAGTGAAAAGAGACGTAAAATCGGTGTATCATGCGTTCACTGGGCTTCTAGGTAGTAACCTATGAATGTATGATGCGTTCCCTGGGACTCAAAGAGTGTCTGGAATTGTGGATTGTGAAAAATAGGTCATATTTCATTTTTTTTTTTAAATAATCACATACATCGATTTTGAAGAAACGTATTTGTATTTTATGTATCTTATACGATATGTAAATAAAAAGGTAAGGGTATATGTAATGTTTCATTTCACTGGCTATTTTGAATCAGTTGAGAAGCATCTGCTTTTTATGCATAATTACAAATGTTCTTTATGTGCATGTAGAGTCATTATGCTGAATAAATATATTCGTATTTCTCAAGGTATTCTACCCAGTTATTTGTTTCATTAATGCCTTCCATCTCTCCTCCTTGTTTGTATTTATTATTTATTGTTTTTAATTATTCTTGTAATGTTGTGAATTCCTGGGGAAATCCCAGAGAGTTCCCGATGGGGAGGAAAAGGTCGGAGAACTCGTGAGAGAAGAGAAAAACTGGATAAGTGGGTCTCGTGTGTCTCATGGTGAACGAAGTGAGGGACACAAGAAAAGCATGAGATGTGAATGGAAGACGTGAACCGAGAGACAGAAGTAAGACAGTTGAAGTTCGGCCCTGACTGAGAGAGGACGCGTGAGTGGACGCCTGCGAAGAATAAATGATTTGTGAAACGAATGTTATATTTCAATAGGAGGATTGAATGTTTTTTTCCAAACGTCGTAATGTCAGGTACCAGAGTTCTTGAAGGATAGATGGATGGTTCGAGAGACGCTGATGAATTCCTATAGTGTGTGAGGAGTCCGACCAGGTCGCTAGATTCAGCCAAGCAAGGCGAGCACGAGAGAGCGAGAATATATGTATGCGATAATTGGCGATTCAACGAATAAAAGCAAACAACTCAATATTCGTTCATGCTGTGTCGTTTCAACTCACTGTTCATCTGAAAGCAATGCAAATTAATACATACCCCTAGAAGAGCATATTACAAGTCTCTGTTTCATTTGTCAGCGAATTAGTCTTGCCATATACTTATTTTTGGGAGTTGCCGTGGTGTAGCGGCTAGATGCTCGCCTGCGGAACAGAAGGTCATGTGTTCACCACCTGACTGAGCCGGACTTTATTCCGAGGTCGACCCAGCCTTGAGTGGAACCAGGTGCAGTCCTGGGAAGTAAAGGTGGTTGCCATGATGCTGACCACATCACCGATCTTGTGCCGTTGGTCTATAAAATAAAGGTCTAGCCCTATACACCCAGTATGCGTGAAAGGTGGGGAAAAGGGTCCTTTACTTACTTTATACACTTCCTTTTACTGAGGAAGTTAGCATAAATAGTTTGAAACTATAAAATACAATATCAGAGCAGAGAAGATTTACCTCAACACTCAACAGAGAGAAAGGATCAGCCAGTCAGCTCTGCCTGAGAGCCAGCACAGAGAGATGGAATCCATCAGCTCCCTCAGAGAGCCAGCACAGAGAGCTAGAATCCATCAGCTCCCTCCAAGAGCCAGCACAAAGAGATGGAATCCATCAGCTCTCTCCAAGAGCCAGCACAGAGAGATGGAATCCATCAGCTCTCTCCGAGAGCCAGCACAGAGAGATGGAATCCATCAGCTCTCTCCAAGAGCCAGCACAAAGTGATGGAATCCATCAACTCTCTCCGAGAGCCAGCACAGGTAGATGGAATCCATCAGCTCTCTCCAAGAGCCAGCACAGAGAACTAGAATCCATCAGCTCTCCCCAAGAGCTAGCGCAGAGAACTAGAATCCATCAGCTCCCTCCAAGAGCCACAACAGAGAGCCAGAATTCAACAGCTTCCTCCAAGAGCTAGCACAGAGAGATGGAATCCATCAGCTCTCTTCAAGAGCCAGCACAGTTATAAAATAAAAGCTTATTTAAGCTGACTGAACGCGATCGAATCCAACACCCCACTCCACCACCTTTTTTCCCAACGTAAGAAGAAACTCCACAGGGGAGCATGTACAGCAGGAGTCTACCAATCGTCAGTAGAAGTAATCTCTCGTCGACAAATGTTTCGGCCCACGAGCTCCTAGACATTTTCAGAGAGTTGGCCCACCTGAGTTCATGAAGCTCATGGTTGGTTTCTCCTGCTGCACGTATTACCGACTTAATCTCTGTGCCAGACATCATCAAATAAAAGAAAGATTTGATAGTGACAAAACTTGAGTACACCTCAATAAAAGACGCCATTTTTGTAAGCTCCAGTAACGGCTTTCGTCGGGGGCCCTAATATAACCTAATGGTGTTTCTGGGACATGTGCCGGGGTGATTCTCATCCGAATGGTGGCACTTTGTGTCATTGACTGTTTATCGTTCGATGTGCTGTCCTGGTGGGGTTGAAGGTCACTGGTGTAACAAAACGCATTGCCCGCCCCAATTTGGGACACTATTTTTTTTTTAAACTACACCCGGGCTGTTGTAGGCCGCCTTAATATAAACTAAATGTTGACTGGGGTTTCTGGGCTTGCAACTGGGGGATTCTCATCCGAATTGTGACATCTTGTGTCACCGGGTGTTAGTCGCTAGTTGCTTGGTCCTGTAAGGTTAAACGTCGCTCATAGGAGAGTTAAAACCCTCCTCCTTCCAACATAAGACGCAATTTTTGGTTATACTAAAGACACCACCCCCCCCCCACCCCCACCCAATCCACCCTTCCCACCTCGGTCGTTGTCGGTGACCCTAATATAACCTAACGGTTAAACGGGGTTTTGGGGACTTGTGGTAATCCTTATCCCAGTGATGGCACTTTGTGTCATCAGTTGATTATGGCTCGTTGTGCGGTGCTGCTGGGGTTGACAGTCACTTACCGAGAGAGAGAGAGAGAGAGAGAGAGAGAGAGAGAGAGAGAGAGAGATAGAGAATCATATTGTATATATATGTTCGTCCAAAAAAATACCAATACCCGAACAAACCTCTAATTTTTCATACAAGTGTGTTTTACAAGTGTCGGTACCAAAACGGAGTGACCGGATAGAAATATTGCGACTTCTTGATCATTTGAAGGACACCCTATGTTCATTTATATTAGTTGTAAAAAGAAAAAGGGCAATTAAACTGGACATTTTCTTGTCTCCCCCCCCCCCCCCAACTTCGCCTTCTTCTTCTTCGTCTTCTTCTTTTTCTTCTTCTCCTCCTCCGTCTTCTTCTTCTTTATCTTCTACTTCTTCTTTTCTTCGTCTTCTTCTTCTTCTTCTTCTTTTTTTTTTTGATCGTTTGTTTATTCGTCTGATATTATTTGTCTTTTTGATATTAATTATACTGTGCCCGTTTGCAGCAGAACGCCCTTGAGCCAACACATCCGACTTTTTCGGACATTTTATTGACCGGTTTGACATTCCTCTTTTAATCGGTTTTAGACATAACACGTTTTCAGTACAGGCACATACCTGGCTGTCTGTCGGTGATTGGACACAGATGGTGTTTGCCAATAGCATGTCCTTACTGTGGGCGGGGGACGATCAGCGTGAAGCAAATATGGGCGACCACAGTCCTTGGTAGGTTACTGAAAACTGTCGACTTAGAACTTTGGTTTAAGAAGTTGTGGCCAGCTTTAAAAAATATGTAACCTGGTAATCGTTTAGTGTAAGTTATTGAAATTTGACATACAACGTTTTATAATCATGTCCTTGTAAGTTTTGTGTGTGTGTGTGTGTGTTAAAAAAATGTAAACGATCATGTAGCTTTCATTTTGCTTTATTTGTGGTATATGGGGGAGGTGGAAGGGGGGGGGGGGCACAGATTCAAAGCAAACAATCAGCGTGCTTGCAGTTAAAAATAAGTGATGGGCATTTTTCAAATCATCAAACTGCACGCGCGCAATAGGCGCTAAATTCTCAGGTGGTCGTATCCATCAATAACCTCCAGTGAGATTAACACTATTTTTCACTATTTACACGAATGCTGGTAAAACTCATTAAAGTCACCTCATCTCGGCGGCCGCGAGATTTCATGGGGCATTTTCCAGGAGACTCCTATAGTTTAGGGGTGTCATGTATTCCTTGTTTTAAGCACATCCACCACCGACAAAAGCCACCGCCAATGAGAAAAAAATACAAAAACATCAGTGATTTGATACTCACTAACCATCTCGCCTTTGGCGCTTCCAATTGCAGTACTTTTTCTTTGCACACAGGCGCCTTCGGCGCCCTAGACATATCCACAACAGTCGTTCACAGAAATGATAGTTGCGAAAAGAAAGCTGCGCACTTTTGTCTGGAATACAGTGTGTCGACTGCTGCCACTTTTCGGATGTGTATAGACGATGAAGAAAGACATCTAGTTACACCGCTAGAATATATTACCACCTCTGGAACCCTCAGCGAAATCTCGAGATGGAGTGACTTTCGTCAGTAGTACCGGAAAGGCTATCTAAATAATCATAGTCATTAGGCATGTGACTTGATTTCCATACAATCTCCACGCATGTGTCAGTTACTGTATATTCTATTTTTTTAAGGCGGACACACATTATTAGCTTAATAAAGATCAAAGAAATTAGCCGCTTTAAGAAAGCAGTACAATTGTGAAACTGTAAATTATAAAAATCATAAGGACATTGGAATTAAAGGTCACATGCAAAAAAAGTCGTATTGATCCTTACAGGAATTTTTGGAGATATTTGTTAAAGTGTGAGGTCACGACTTTTCAACCGCACTATAGACCCAGCTTAACGTGTCTGTGTGTCCTACGTCTGGGAAATAACGGACACGTTAGAACAGGAATAATCTGGACTGAAATGTAAAGTGGAACTCGCAGAAACGCCTGG